AATGGTTTGGCCAAAAATCAAATCTACTCTAATATAGTCAACCTACCAAGACATGTTTGGCGTCAAATTTTGCTGAAGTTAACAAACACTAGAAGTTAATAGTCACCCAAATCTTTTCCGTAAATACATCCCCAAAACTTTTCTCAACCTGCTCAAACCACATCCAGCTCTTCATGAAGGTCAATCAGACTTGTCAGTGTAGTTTAGAGCACAGTATGACTTACTTATGAACAGAACTTCTTTACAAAACAGGTCTTATGCTGAATTCATACAGGCATGTGGAATCTACAGATTATGTTCACTAATTCTGTAGGAGTACCTCTTAAGATTGATCTTTTGAACTGAAAATCTATGTTTGTGAATAGAACCAAAAGAAATCGCAAATGTAATCTTGGGCCTGCATTTGCACCACAGCCTAGTTTATATTTAGGTTGGTGTGTGAAATCTTTACTAAGTCACAAATCATTAAGCCATGTCTTAATAAGTAACAATTAATGCATATGTCTCTTCAACATGACAATAACATGTTTAGAACCAATTTACAAACCTGCTGCCATAGAAACGCAACGTTAGCTTTAACTGACTTGCAACAAAAATAAAGCTTCTGGCCATTCGACACTACACCATCCTCAGTTTAGATGCTTGGGCAACTTCTGAGTCATTGTGAACTGAGGCTGTGGGTGTTCAGCTTCATGCCTGGAGTTAAAGGAGGACGATTATTAGAGCTTTAAGCAAAGCACAGCAAGTAGCATTTAGTGTTTTGAGCTTATTTAACCAAAAAGTCACGTTTTTACCATTTTTGTGCTTTCTATGTGGCTTCAGTTGGTTTCCCCAACATGTACATCTTCTCTGGGGGAAGTGTAAACATTTGGTAACTACTAAGCTCAACGTTAAAGCTAGCTTGTATGGTGCAACTTGTTTTGAATCAGTAAAGTGTAAACCTGAAGTTGGTGAACACTTATGTTACACCTAGCCTATGTTTGAGGTATCTAAAGCTGCTGACTGCAGTGTTTAGCTACTCAGTGAAGTTTTGTTCGTCATACTGCGCTGTAAACCTGGCGCAACCATCTTTAATGAAGACCTGGATGTGGTTTCAGCAGGTTCAAATACGTTTTGGTCATGTATTTTTCTAGAACAGATTTGGGCGACTATTGATTTCTGACTACTGATGCTCAAGGGCTAAACTAAAGAGGCAAAATTTTAACACCATTAATGTGTAATTATTGAAATAAAGTCTGTTATACAGACATTCACTCTCCAATTCATATACGGTCCATATATGGAACTTAAGCAGCAAAAAACAACCTGTCAGTTAGCACTTATATGAGTTAACATACGTGTAATCAGGGGTGTTCATATTTTACATACCACCATAAGCCTTGTTGAGGGAGCCACTCACTAAACACTCACTGCTGTGAATTAACGTCATAATGTTTGCTGAAAGAATCTGTGATATTTCCGAACTTCAGAAACGGTGAGTGCCTAGGCTTGATTTTTTAAACAATTGCAATTCAAACAATTGTTTAACCCCGTGCAATGCCAGGGCCCACCAGCAGCCCCAAAGTTTTATTACACACTTCGATAACCTAAGACTAGTTTACATTGAAGTCCCTCTAGTTACTAGATAATATGTCTTGTTTTAAGGGGTTTAGATAGCATAAATTGTTTACAGTGTCTCTTTTTAAAGCATTATGATGTTTTACAGCTTCATCAGATCTGCTAACAATGCCTGACATTGAAAACGACACATTCTCCAACACCACCAGCATCAGTTGTGAAGTGTGTTCATTCACTTACACTTGGACTATTTTTGTTCTGGTAGTTGTAGCAATAAATTGCATCTTGACAGTACCCAGTGGATCTTGGGCTGTTTGGCTCCTAAGAAGTGGCTCTCGCGCCACTCTGGAAGCCGAATTCTTCCTGCTTCATCTTTTTTGCATGGACATTGCCTGCGTCTTTCTGAACATATATGCTTTCTGCAACTATTATATTTTCTGCAAACAGAACTTGCAATTAATTGGGATCTTCCTGTATCAGCTGTCTCTGCATAGCCTGCCCCTGTTCCAGTGCTTAGTGTGTGTTGAGCGCTATGTGGCTGTGGTCCACCCTCTTACCTTCTTGAAGTACAAACCTCTCAGATACAAGGCATCATGCTTGTGCCTGGTTTGGTTGATAGCAGTGATTTTTGAAATAAACCACTTTTTGTTGCACAATCCCATCACACTTATGGTTGTTTTGATTCCCATTGTTTGTACTGAGTCGTTTTGTAGTCTATCCATCATCTGGGTTCTGAAGCGTCCCAGTCCGGGAAACACAACAGGAATGAGGGAGCGCAAAGGGGAAGGAAACCTCATGAAGCAAAAAGCCTTCATTATTATTATTTTGCTTCTGCTAAAGCTTCTGGTGAACTACATGCCCATTATTGTGCTAGCTGCTATGAAGCCAACCATTTCTTTTGTGACATACAAGTGTACCATGTATTCCGTAGTTATAAACATTTGCTTCTTCGGCAGTTTCATTCAGCCCTTTCTGTACCTTCACAGGGCTGGAAAAATGTCATTCATCTGAGTCTTATTGAATTCTAACAGTCCAAATTACATCCATACTGGATCAAAGACATCTGTCTTTCTCACCACATGATTCTAGCCCTAATTTGATTGTAGGACAGGTGAATATACTTAAAATTAGGTTTAAGTGAAAATGCTAACTGCCATGAAAAATTTAGATATAAGGTCCTACATTCTTCAAGCCTATTCTTGTCAGAGGTACATTAAAGAAAAATGATTCTTTAAGGGCTCTTCAGTGAAGGCCATGGTTCTGCACAGGACCATGAGCACTTAAAGAACCATATGAATGCCTAAATGGTTCTTCGCATGGTCAAATTGTTCTTCTCAATGATGAAAATCCAGTTGTATATGGTTCTGCTTTTAAATGGCTCTATACAGCACCGAAAAGGGTTCCATTATTCCTACCAGTCAAAGAACCCATTTTCAGTACTGTATAAAACCCTTTTTACTAAGAGTGTAAATAAGTCATGTATTCTCTTTATATGTGAATTATATGCTTACATGTCTATATAACAATGTAAACACTATAATAAAATGTTCTGTTGCATGTCAAATGATAGTAACGTTGTCAAATACGTGCCTGAGTATTTATACTAGTCGTATCTATATTAACATAAAGTAGTATCTGTTTTAGTTCATTCCCATGTATACTTGTACAGCATATCGTTGAACCAATATTTGATGTCTGTACTGCAGCTAGTCTGAAATATTGGTTTGTAAATCAGAGGCTGGTTGGGTTTTTTGCTTTGCATGTGTCTGCCCTCTGTATCCTACTTGTCATAGATGATTGTTTGGGGCTCTCAGAAGGTCATGAATGAGAGCACTACAGCTGAGGGTTTTTTTTTGGCTGCTCTTTGCTTCACTTGTCTTTGTGTTGTTTATTGTTTTGGGGAGGCTCAATAAAATATTGCACCTTACATGCAAATGAAACAGTAGGCCTGTCTGTTGGAAAATGTTGTTTGTGTACCTCTAAACTTAATAAACTTACACTGTTTCTGCAACATTACCTTCACATTACATATCAAAAGTTTGCACATACAGTTACTTCTTGAGTCTTGTCAATTAAAAAGATCTAATATTCAAATCAAAAAGTCTCGTTCATGAACAGATCATTCCTCTACTACTGTGACTTGCAAGATGACAAGCTATTTAAATCAAGGGAAGAATCAGTGCAAATACCAATATTAACTTGACTACTATGTTCAAAACATTGCAGCACAGTAATTAACACCTGTATTTTTTCAGTAAGTCTATTACTCAGTTGAATTTGTGGTCCTTGTAGTCACCTTCAACCACAAGGAAATGAGCAATATATGAGAATGAGTTATATGGATATATATGAAAATATATACTACAGTGCTGAGAATGATACATGCATACATACATACATACATATATCATCTAAACCGCTTATCCTTCTGGGTCGCGGTGGGGTGCTGGAGCCTATCCCAGCTGTCATTGGGCGGAAGGCAGGATACACCCTGGACAGGTCGCCAGTCCATCGCAGGTGCTGAGAATGATCCACCACCCAAATAATACCTATGCTGTTGTGGTCCTGTGGGGGTCCTGACCACTGAACAACAGGGTAAAAGGGGGCTAACGAAATATACAGAGAAACAGATGAACTACAGTCTGTAATTAAAAAACAACAACAATTTATATACAGGATGTGTGGGTGTGTGTGTGTGTGTATAAAAAAGTCTTGGGCTGGAGGTTAGGGAACCAGCTCTGTGACCGGAAGGTCGCTGGTTCTCTAACTATATATATATATATATATATATATATATATATATATATATATATATATATATATATATATATATATAATACGTTTAGATTTTTTGTTTGTGTAAAATGGTGAGCCTGAACTCATCTTTGCCTTGCTTGCTAAAATAAACCTTTTTCCTGGAAGTTCCTTTTATAGTCAAGCATGATTGTATCGCATATTTAAGATGGGTTTTATTTTCCCTAGTCTTAAATTGGCCCTGTCTCAACTTTTTTGGCATCAATTTCAGAATGAGCAAATATTTACAAAAACACAATGACGATAATACAGCACAACATGAAATATCTGGTCTTGTACTATTTTGTACTACTATAATTTATATACAATTTATTACAAATCACTGCTTTCTGTATTTATTTGTATTTTACATATTGTCCCAACACTTGTGGAACTGAGATTTATACATAAAACTCCATCATGTGACTTTTTAAATAAGGCTTATAAGACGTTCTCTTGTATAAGCATATTGACAACGTCACAGTGCTGACGTACCATGACTTGGAGATGTAGTAATGGAAAGGTGCAACAGAACGGAGAGGAAGCTATACAAAGTTCCTAGATGGTTCTGCCTGTCTAACTTGTTGGACTAGTGGTCAGGTGTGTGTGTGTGTGTGTGTGTGTGTGTGTGTGTGTGTGTGTGTGTACTGCGTACAGAGGTGTGCAGTCACACCCTCTTTCTCAAGTTTTTTCTTAAACGCTAGCCAAGAACGTACAGACCAGAAGAGTGGCAGAGATGAAAATAGCATGCGTGGGGTGAGAGAGGAAGGACAGAGACTGAGAGAATCAGAACGAATGAAAGTAAGAGAGATGCCATTTCTTGACATGTTGAGAAAGAGGGAGTAAGACAGAGACAATAAGAGAGAGAAAGAGAAAAACAAGGCAGGAATTGGGGAGAAAAGGTAATTCTTAAAATATCTGAGCATATAAAACTTATTGGAGTGGAAGCCCATTGAAACAGAGCTACAGGTAAGCTGATTATTTTGACTTCTTAAAGATTTTTGAAATGATAGATAATTTAATAATAATAAAAGTCCTGTTACAATACTCTCTAAGGTAACAGACAGCATGACTTTGCTTTTTCCACTGTGTACTTTGCAAGCTAACAAGCAGTAATGTTAATCACAAACTGCTCTGAAATCAGTTTTGTACTTTGTGCCAGCCAGTTGTTGGCTGGGAAGACTGCTCTTCTATCAGTGCTTAGGCCTCTTGCTTGAGTTTGTGGCTGGTATGGCTTCATTCCAGAGATTCACGGAACACTGGAAATAGGTCTTTACCTTGTCAATCTTTATATGCCTCCAACTTTTGATTCATTTTTGCTTATATTTATTCCCCAGCAAAGACTGTTAAATCTGGGATGGGAATATGCTTTAGGACCTTTTACTTACAGCTTGGCGTCAGCTACAATCGAAACTTCTGTGCTCTGTACTTATTGGATAAAGCCAAAGATTTAAACCCTGTATTTTTTTTTTTTAAATGAAAAACAAAGTGCAAAACGTTAAAATTTGATGTACAGTTTGTTTGGCATTCACATTGGAGATGAGGATCTATGAAGCAAGAACAGAACTTAAACAAACAGTTAAACTGGTTTTCTATGCATTACTTAAAACATGGTGAGTGGTCAGTCCATAGAAGTGTACATTCTTCCAGACTTTTGAACTCTTTCAAATGTCAGGCTGTCACCACCAACTATCAGTATGCCTTAGTATGCCGGCTAACATACACTCTTAAAAAGGATTGTTCTTCAAAGGTTCTTTAGTAAAGAAAATGGTTCTATGTAGAACCATGAACACTCAAAGAACCCTTTGTATGATTAAAGATTTTTTACATGGTAAAATGTTGTTCAAAATGATGGGAAATATTCTGTAGATGCTTCTGTATGGAACTTTTTGAAAAGGTTCTTCTGTTCCTAAGATGTGTTTATGGAAAAACCCTTGAAAAACCATTTCTTAAGTGTGTTGATAACATCATCATGAAATTCCATGCCTAAATGATCACCTCAGACCAGGTTGCGCTGTTAAGTAATCTCAAATAGACTTGCTTATGTGGTTTCTGACACTGCACTTTTCTTCATTCTAAGAACGACCAGTCATGCAGTAATAAACCATATAAGAAAGTCTATCTGAGGCCCTGTTAACACCTGACATTGACTTGTGTCTTGAGTGATCTGATCATACGCGCTTAATACAGGTGTGATGGGGTCCACTGCATCTCAGAGACACATTATGATCTGATCACCTTTGAACGTGGTCAGGGGCGCATAATGGAGTTATGAAATATGTAAGGTTTGGGAGGCGGACCATGCTTGAAATTCCTCCTCCTTCCAATCTAAAGTCCTAAATTTCCATCTCTATCTTCTGTTTCTTGTGACAAAGTTCTCACACCCTATCACCACCCTTTTTCCTCTCTATTACTCAGTGCTGTACCTCAATCTGTTCATCAGGAGCGGTCTAGCTTTCTATCTCAAAGCAGAAGCTGCCCAGAAGTTTCTTCCCTTCCTATAGTCATATAGTCTCTTCTCACAGTACAACCATATGTTGAAGGCAAGGTCAAAACCAGCAAATGACCACATAATATTTGTAATGTTGCGTCCCGCTGTGTCCCTAACAACAAGGAAGGGTCGCCTTAATCAACTCAATTTTTTATCTCCTCTCCTGTTTCTTTATAATTTGCATTAGCAGTCTATGCAGTATAAATTTTTGTAACAGATCACTTGAGACATTTGTTAATACCAAGTGTCAGCAGCCCCTGATTACTCAACAACTCGAGGCATGTGTCTGATTATTTAGACATGCAGATTGCGCAATATGTTTGACTTTTTTGGCCAAACCTCCACTTAAGCTCCATCTTGCAGACACGGCAAAGTCCCTAAATGAAGAATAGAACAGGTACCTAAAGCTAACTCCATTACATTTTTCTTCTTAACTTTGCTCTTTTTCTATGCCGCAGCCCATCTCCCACACCCATCATGTCAATTCCTGTAGACTTCCTGTTGGAGGAGCAGTTCACCTGCTCCATCTGCCTGGATGTCTTCACCAACCCTGTGTCCACCCCCTGCGGCCACAGCTTCTGCCTGGCCTGCATCACTTCTTACTGGGACACACGGGGCAAGGCGTGCATCTGTCCCCTCTGCAAGGAGAGCTTCCGCAAGCGGCCCGAGCTCCACACCAACCACACTCTCAAAGAGATAACCGAGCAGTTTAAGCGCATGGCAGAGGCTGGAGGTGCGGTTGCAAACGCTCAAGCACCCTCCGGCTCTGACCAGAGACCTAGTGTCCCACCGCGACCAGGGGAGCTGCCTGGAGGACTGCTGACAGAGATGAAGACCAGGTTCCAGAAAGCATCATCCAGTGGGAACTTGCTAGCATCGCCACCGCCATATGAGGCCTCCCAGAGGCGTTTCAGCAGCAGTGGGGTCAGTGCAGGTGGCTCAACTGGACCACCATGTGCCAGGCATGGACTGTGCCTAGATATGTTCTGCAGAAATGAACAAATGTGTGTGTGTGCAATGTGCATTGAGGGAGAACATCATGGACACTCCGTGACCCCGGCTAAACGAGAGATGAATATTAAGAAGGTCAGTGTCCACTATTTGTTCAAATGAAAAATATATTTGTATTTGGTTGTAAACTAGCAGTGGGTGTGGCTTAAACCAGAAATGGAAATAAGGTGCCGAGATAGGACAAAGACCTGAAAAACTTAAGCATTGCACAGTTAATGATGCTCTTAAATCCATCTCTTAAATCCATCCAGTCTTTAAAGGACTCATGTCCTATATTTTTCTTGCATATTGGTTTTGAATCGGAAATTCACTTATAAAGTTTCTGTGGTTTTATGTATCAAAAACAATTATAATTATTTTCTATAAGACCATTCCTGACCATTTTTTATGCCTATGCTGTTTTCTTACTGTGCTTTTAAGACTGATATACAGGCATATGGAAAAGAGTTCTTTTGTAAAGACACTGATTCTATATAGAGCTATGAACACTCAAAGAACCCTTTGCATGCTTGAAGGGTTCTTTGCATCATGAAAGCGTTCTCCAAATTGATGGTGAATGTGCTATAGATTGTTCTATATAGGGTTCTAAAAAAAAATCCTTCTATTATTACAAACTTGACATCATAACAATAGCAGAACCCTTTTTGGTGTTATATAGAACCATCTACAGCACATTCTCCATCAATCCAAAGAACCATTTCATGATGCATAGAACACTATAATCATACAGGGTTCTTTGAGTGTTCGTGGTTCTATATAGAACCAATTTCTTTCCTAAAACCCTTAAAGAACCATATTTTTCAAGTGTTTATATAATATAATATATCAGATAGAAGCATATTATGCAATTGTATTAGGGTGGCCCCTTGATGGCACCATTGTGTATTGCACAATGCAAAATGGAACAGTCCAATTTCTATACTGTTTACTGTGCAGAAAATATGAGTTGATAATACGTCAGTTACCACTTTAATACCACTTGTATTCATGACTTTGTCAGCTGATTGAAGGCCACTTCCTTGCAGTACAACCTAACAAATGACCTAACAAGAAAAATTAATGAATACAAATAGTATTGGGAGATATTTAGAGGGAACAAATATTCAGAACCCATTATTTGTGTCTCTTTGTAGAATATAGGCTTATCTGTTGTCAAGTGTATGGTATATGTTTGAGAGGGAGGGGGTGCGTATGAGTGCTTTTACTGGAGAATGTATGAACTATTGTGTGATTTCTGAATATGGAAATGTCTGAAAGTCTGTATCCTTTCTATGATCTGCTCAGTCTCAGTTGGGCATCATAGGGACGGAGCTGCAGGTTTTAATCACGGCCAGAGAAAAGAAGATAGAGGAAATTCAAACTTCACTGGCAGACATTCAAGTGTGTATCTCAACACCACATCTACTTTACGTACATTCTGAAAATCCAAGGTAAGATTGAAGTCAGACTGAATCTCTTTGAAACCAATTTTTCCTTGTTTCCTTCGCTTTCTTCCTCGGTCCTCAGGCGAATGCACAGCAAGAGGCGGAGGTCACAGTCAGTATGTTTCGTATCCTACTCAACACTATGGAGAGGTGTCAGGCCGAGCTTCTGGAGGTGGTGCAGATGGGCCGCATGGCCGCAGAACTGCGTGCACAGGCCCTCATCCAGGACATTCACCAGGAGATAGATGAATTGAAAAAAAGGAGAAGCGCCCTCACCCAGCTCACACAGGCCACTGACCACATCAGCTTCTTCAAGGTCAGTCTCCGTCAGACTGCAGTGTGGGTTTCTTTTTTCTTTTTCGGGAGGAGGCAAAGGTATGGAGTTAATGAATCGTAATGAATCGTAAATCTATTAGCAGAATTTAAAATATGCAAACGTGACTGTAAGCTTGGGCTGAGTAACACTTAACTGAGTTACCATCATACCAGCCTCAGTGACACTAAAAGCTCATTTACTGGCAGCTTAAAAAAACATTAATTTGTTGATTTAGTTAATGTGAACCAATAGCAAGACAGTAGTATTTCCACACATAAACATTATTTAACATTTGAACATGTTGGTTGATGTGATTATTCACACATTTATTGCACATAGATAAGATCGTTGTAGAAACAGCTGTTGAGCTGCTCTGTTTGAACATGCTCTGTGCTACAAGCAGATGTCATGCCAGTACAAAAAGCCACCTATATGGTGGATTGTACACAGTGTGTGACATGTCCCATGTTGGCTGGCTACTCCAGCATTGGCTGGCTGGCTGGCTTGGCACCACTGTTGCTAGCTCAACTGGCAACAAAACGTTTGGCTTAACAATTCCTCTTTTGGAAATGCTCTTTTCTAGTTTGGTAATTGGCTCTGACACACATTATTGGAGATGTTACACATCTGCTCTTCTGTCTTTTGTTTTTGAGAAATGAGTAAAAACTTCCACCAGCTTCTTAGGAAATTCGGCAGGTTTTCAGATTCACAAATATGCAACGGCATGCTGTAATTTTTTTCAAAAGTATCCTGGTCATAATTACAGTTTCTAGGCTATGAAGGACTACAGCATCTCCAGTTAGTTAAGAATATCAAGTATAGGCTGACCTTGCCATTGTGTGGTTTAAGCGGTATTTCACACTTTGGTTGTACATTTTAGGACATCCTCAGACACAGCACCAGGCTTCAGACATCAGACAAAACAGCCAAATTAAATGTGACAATGTTGTGCAACCACAACTGAATAGCACTTTTATTATGTACTTTTATTTGACAAACATTAAGCTTCAACTTGCAAACTACCACTGTGTTTGCTTCTGCAACCGCTTCAGTGTTAGGAACCGTCTCAAAATTACCAGACAAAAAATTATAAACTGAAGGAACCTCCCACCACACACACACACCAGTTTATTGACCCCCCACCCCACTGTTTACAGTATTTACTTTCCACATGGTTTCACATTCAGAGGACTCACCTGGGTTTTATTTAGTTAATAAAGCAGCAGTGAGGTGTGTTTGAGAAATGTTTGCATGTTGGTTTTGGGTTCTTTTTCTCCAGCATTTATTCACTGGATTCATTTTGCTAGAGACTCTTATTGTAGAGGGCAGGCCAAGAAACTGCCCCAGGCTGTGTGTGTGTGTGTGTGTGTGTGTGTAGAGAGAGAGTGTGACAGGAGTAAAGACGTGAGCTGAGTTAGGTACTGACTGTCCCCTTTTGTACTCTGGGTGCCGATAAAATAAAGCTGTGTCATGGGCATGAACTTAGAGTTGTTTCCGTTTCTTTTATGAGAACCTTATATACCTATACCTAAACCTTACGCTTACATCATTAACTAAGAATGACTAAAAATCATGCACCATTTTTCATCAAATGTACAGAAAATATGTCTTTTTGGGGGGTTTCTTCTTAGTTCTTAACTAAGCTGACTGATCAATCATGGACTAACCAGGCATAAACTCACCAATCATAGGCTATCCACTCATAAGCTGACCAATCATACGCTTAACAGTCTTAAACTGACCAATCATAGGATAACCAGTCATAAGCTGACCATTCATAGTATAATCAGTCAAAAACTGACCAATCATAGGCTAAACAGTCATAAACTGACTAATCATAGGCCAACTGATCATATGCAATACCAATTACATGTGAGATTTTCTAAGTTGCTTTTCTGTTTACAGCAGTAAAATCAATTTGTCAAGCAAGAGACACAAACACATTGCATTGCAGTATTTTTTTTTTTGCTTAGATGTAATAAAGTAAAATCACCCAAAATCTTATTTATATTTGATTATATATTTATATTTCTGTGAGGCCTCTGCCAGTTTCTTATGTCATAGTTGTCACATCTAAACGTTCAGCAGAACAGCACCAACAACTAAAACTTTAAAAATCGAAGTAATTCGCTGGTTGTAGCAGCCTGGTGAAAATGTAAAAAAAAAAGAGTGAAATATGGAGGTTTGTATTTACTACTTGCATATAAAACAAAACCTCAAGAACTGAGATCACAAGCTTCAGTTTACTCTTTTGTTGTTTCTCTGCTTTATTTATTTATTTTTTTTGCATAATCAGTTTTTAATATTACATTATTGTTATTTCCCACAATGTGTTGCTTGGGAAAACAGAAGAAGTTTTGAGCTTCATTTCTTCTGGGAAAAGTTTCTGTGATTGTTAAAATAACACGTAAGAAACCTGAAATTAGTGGAAGTGAAGTGACTAAGCTTTTTACAGCTTTCTCATTTACTTCTAGTTTTCCCTGCTGCTCAAGGTTAAAGATGGAATAGCATTAATTTCAGCATTTTATCTGTGCCATTCTTTATTTCTGTGTTCTAAACTCTTGGCTTTGATAGATCTCCTTAAAGTATGACTCATACTCTGCTTGAATAGGTGGAGTGAATAAGACTCTGATTTCAGATAAACGCTTTTCAGATGCTTCATCATTTCAGGAAACAACGCTGCAAATGCTCTCCCAGTTTTCATTGAGCTTTAAATCTTATTGTAATGACGCATCTTACCTAACTTCATTGCAATTTGTCTTCTTTTGAGAAAACTGTTATCACTAATAAGACACTGTGGCGTGGAAGCTCATGCAGCCTTTGTTTTGCATGTTCCCTGTCATTTTTCTGCTTCGTTTCTCATCCATTTTCTTTTGAGAGATTGAAAAAGACCAACTGGAGTTCTTTTAGAGAAAAACTTGTCTTATATACCATAAGCAAGGCCGTCATCTAAAGTTCATCTCAGCTGTTTCACCTTAAAATACAACCCCATTTCCAAAAATTTGTGATGCTGTGCAAAATGTAAATAAAAATAGGATGCAATGATATGCAAATCATGTAAACCATATTTTTAAAAGGAAAATACTACAAAGACAACATATCAGATGTTGAAACTAAGAAATTTTATTGGTTTTTGGAAAATTTATGCACATTTTGAATTTGATGCCAACCATACATTCCGAAAAGACTGGGACGGGGGCATGTTTACCACTGTGATTCGTCACCTCTTCTATTAACAACACTCTGTAAGCATTTGGGAACTGAGGAGATCAACTGCTGTAGTTTTGGAAGTGATATGTTTTCCCATTCTTGCTTGATATAGGATTTCAGCTGCTCAACAGTTTGGGGGCTCATTTGTCGTATTTTTCATTTCATAACCCTCCAAATGTTTTCAGTGGGTGACAGGTCTGGACTGCAGGCAGACCAGTTTAGACACTTGTAATACTGAGCGATGCTGTTTCAATACATGCAGAATGTGGTTTGTCATTGTCTTGCTGAAATAAGCAAGGCTGTCCCTGAAAAAGATGTCGTCTGGATGGCAGCATATGTTGCCAAAACATGGATATATCGTTCAGCATTAATGGTGTCTTCACAGATGTGCAGGTCACCCATGCCATGTGCACTAATGCTCCCCTATACCATCATGAATACTGGCTTTTGAAATGTGCACTGATAACAAGCTGAGTGGTCTTTATCCCAGACAACACAGTGTCCATTATTTCCAAAAAGAATTTCAAAGGTTGATTCGCCCAACCACAGGACACTTTTCCACTTCACAAGTCCATTTTCAATGAGCTCAGGCCCAGAGAAGGTGGCAACATTTCTGGATCCTGTTATGTATGGTTTCTTCTTTGCATTTTAGAGTTTTAACTTGCATTTGTGGATGCAATGATTGCGTATATCTGTGTTCCACAGCCCGTGCAGTGATTTCCACTACAGAATCATGTCTGTTTTTAATGCAGTGCTGCCTGAGAGCCCGAAGATCACGGCCCGCCAATACTGTTTTTTTAGCCTTGTCCCTTGCGTACAAAGATTTCTCCAGATTCTCTGAATCTTTTAATGTTATTATGTACCGTAGATGATGAAAAGCAAAAGTTCTTTGCCGTTTTATGTTAAAAAATGTTATTCTTGAATTGTTGCACTATTTGCCCACGCAGTCTTTCACAGAGTGGTCAGCCCCTCCTCATCATTAACTCGGAAAGACTCAGCCTCTCTGAGATGCTCTTTTTATACTTAATCATGTTACTGACCTGTTCCCATTCAATCAATCAACAGGTTTTTTTTTTTTAGCATTATACAACTTTACCAGCCTTTTGCTGCCCCCGTCCCAACTTTTTTGGAAAGTGTTGTTGGCATCAAATTCAGTTTCAACATCTGATATGTTGTCTTTGTACTATTTTCAATTAAATATAAGGTTTAAATGATCTGCACATCATTACATTTTGTTTTTATTTACATTTTGCACAGCATCCCAACTTATTTGGAAATGGGGTTGTGTATTTGGACTCTCTGTATCACAGTTTACTCTGCTTGATTGAAGGTGATGACTGTTTCACATGTTCTATGTATTTTTAATCCTTGTATTGGTTCTAGCTACAAAATTGCTGACAGTCTCCGACAATGCTGACAGTACTTATTTACGCAAACTTGTAGCGAGACAAATGCTTTACAGTATGTCATTTCCTGTAAAAAACTGGGAAACATTTAATCTCAAAATGTTGGCTGTGTCCAAAACCGCATGCTACCAAACTACACATACTGCATTGCTGAATTCACTGCTATTTGTGATGTACTATTTTCACATACTATTTAGTATGGTTCTATGCGGTTTTGGACACAGCCATTGTGCACCATTATGCTTTTGCTTACAGGTTGAATGACATGTTTCATTGACATGGTGCAGAACAGTGTGCAGTGGGCTTTGGGGTATATTTTCTCTCATTTGATGAGTGTGTCAGGGGTGTTATCCAATCAGCAATGATGTGTATGTGAACCCCACTGTATTAAAAAGAGTCTAATAAAGTCCTCTACAAATGTGGTCACTGCAGCTTGTTTTATGGAACAGCTGAGGACATAAGAAGCTGTATTTTGAAGTACTAAACTCATGGTTAAACCTACTTTATCAGGCTCCGAAAAATCATTGAAAAGAAAGGCAAAAATGACCTTTTTACCTGCCACAGTTGCATAGTTTTGTCGGGGCTGAATGCAGCCCTGTTATCATGAAAGTTTTGGTTTATCAATTAAGAAAGATGAGGTTTCCATCTGGAAAAGCTGTAGCTGTTTCCATTTAGAAAAGTTTTCCAGACATCTTTTGATAGAACCATTGCTAATGTAGAGTTACCTGCTATGTGTCTATAGCAGGCATGTCAAACTGGGGACCTTCAGGCCAAAGTGCTGTGGAGATTTACCCACATCTAACGCTCAGTTAGCTTCAGTTCATGAAGGCCTTGCTAATTAGCTGATGAGCTGAATCAGGTGTGTTTAAAGGCAATGTGCTGAAGTCTGCAGTGTTTTGGCCCACAAGGACCAGAGCCCGGTCTGTGGAAGCTGTTGCCTAATACTGAGTTCGAGCACTTACTGTGCTGGTTCATTTATTTGTCTCACAGTTTGTCTCCTTTCTTTTAAGGAAATTTAGTGAATTATTTTAGTCAGAAGCACCTCCAATATGAAAGAAATTTCAAATACTCTATTTTTTATTTATTTTTATTTTTTTCTTAAATTCTACCACCCCCCCCCTCTCACATATCTCTCTCTTTCTGCAGGCCTATTCGTCCTTGTGTAGTGTTCCTCAAGTGAAGAGCTGGACAGAGCTGACCTTAACCCCTGATCCCACAGCAGGGGCGGTGCTGAGGAATGCCACTCAAATAGTGGAAAGCCTCCAGGAGGAGCTGAAGAGACTGCCACAGCTATGTGAGATGGACATGTTTACATTACTATTTTCTTTGAATTTTCATTGTCTTTTTTAAATAACTCAGCTTGATGTACTACATACATTTTGTTAAAGTTTCAAAACATATTGTGCATTTGTCAATCCATACAATCTAGATATGGAATTGAGGCTGTTTTGCATAGATTGTGGTTGTACAGGGTTGGTGACCATAGGCCTAGCCTATTCGTTCATGTGGAAGTGATAAGGAGTGTTGTTACTGCAGATATATACAGTCTATAGCAGAGTAGAAAATTACTAAACATTGTGCTGTTCCTGGCTGTCAAGAAGCAAATGTATCACTGCAGCCTTACAAAGTATCCACCTATCTGAAAGCAAGTGCTGAACTTTATTTTTTCTGATATCCCTGAGGATTTCCATACTTAACAATTTATTCTATACTTTTTAAAATTGCGTTTTCAATGACACTACAGGCAGCCAATCAGAACAGAGATCGGTTAAATATATGTTTTTAAGGGAGGATGGAAAATGAATCACAGCTGTTTTTTGCTACATAAATGCAAAATTTGTAATTGAACTTTTGGGGAAAAAATAAATTGCAGTAAGAATATAGAACCCATGGACCCTTTACATTTAAATTACTGAGGCAGCAGCCCATTAATGTGTGGGGGTCTTTTTCAAACACTAATGATTCTCTGGAGATAGGTAAAATGGAACAAAGCTTCACAAGCTGTAAGCTTTTGCCTAATACACAGTACTAGAATCCAAATTCATCACCACCATGATCTATTTTGGGTGGGAAAAAATGAGTAAGCTTGTTCATATATGGATGTATTATAATAACATTCAGGCCTCGTCAGTTTGCTGTCCTTTCATGACTGCTTATGAAAGCCCCTCGCAGTTATTGATCTCATAGCAATTATTCTCATTTTGTGATAGTATAAAAGGATTAACATCATTGACTCTATGGCAGTGACTTGTCAGCCAATGTGTGTATGAAAATGAATGAAAATACACAGCACAAAACATTCTTTTTATGTTAAATTAACCTGCCAGTATGAACAAGAACATCACTCTGAATATAATAGGTGGGTTAATGAGTCTTTAGTTTGTTTTTACAAACAACAAGTGTGCCCTTTACAATATTTCTCTGCTGCTTCAATGCTTGACTTCTTTCCTGAAAAAATGAACAGTATGCTCACTGGGAGCAGATTGTTGTGCTGTGTATGAATGCCAATCATGGTGTCATGTTGTTTGTGACGCTGGTACGTGCTTGTTTTGTTGTACAGGTTTGCAGACACCCATGGATTCACCGGCTAAATATTATCCAAGTAAGTTTTGTCTGTTTTTCACCAGAGATAGACTCTTTGATAGTTTGAAGCAGAAGTTTAGTCATGTACCTGAGATTCACTTGAATTCCCTGTAAATATGGTATCCTCATAAAAGCTAACATGTGACTAACACTGTTTATATAACCTCATCACTATTAGAAGATGACCTATTTTAAGACTTGGTCTGATCATTTAGCTAATATATCTCATATCTCTTCCTTTGCTTGTAGAAGTGCAGACCGTGCAAGAATACGCATGTAAGAGTTTGTTTTTATTACTTTCTTATCTCTGACAAATGCAAGATCTTCTAGATATACCTAGAATACTGCACAAATGTCTTAGGCCACATGAGAAATTATATTTAAAGCTGTTTATCTGGGCAGTAAATGTTTAGTTGCTTGGGAAGATGGTTTAAAGACTACGAAACCCCCTTTTGATGATGTATCTTGAAGGAGGAACTTTTGAAAAACTACAAACACTGTGGGCTTTTTAGGAAGCCAAATAGCCATATGCCTGTAGTAATCATCATTACAATGGAGTGAACTGATTAATTAATTAATTATAATTAAGAAATAACTCATCAGATGTGAAGAACAAGCTAAACGCTAAAGTTAGCAAGTTAGCTGCTTGTCTGTCTAGATGTCTTACTTCAGTTTGGCTTCTTTTCTCTGGCTGAATGAATAAAAAACTTGTCAGCTTTGTGCTAAATAAAGATAGAATTGCTGTTTTATTCACAATTTGTTTGACCACTGAGGTAGGAGTTACACTCATGCTGGTTTTGTTGGTTTATCTATAAATCAGTGGCTGGGCTAGCAATTAAGACTGGTTGACCCTACAGGGATTCCAAGTGGAATTATGGCTATTGTAATGAGAGAACATGATAAAATAGTTTGAAACAATTATCTCAGGTGGCTTTTGCTCATTACTGCATGGCCACATATTAATAATTAACACATAATTATTACTCAGAAACCTGTCTAACTCTCTCTACCACTCTTCTCATAGTGGATGTGACTCTGGATCGAGACTCCGCCCATCCACGGCTGCTTATCTCAGAGGACTGTAAGCAAGTGTACTGTAGCGAACGCTACCATGCTGTAGTGGACACTCCTGAACGTTTTGACCGCGTGGTGTGCGTACTGGGACGCCAAGGCTTCAACTCTGGTCGCCATTACTGGGAGGTCCAAGTGGGAGGGAAGACAGATTGGGATTTGGGCGTGGCCAAGCGCTCCATCAACCGAAAAGGGAAGATCTCCGTCAGCCCAGCCAATGGCTATTGGTTTCTGAGCTTACGCGACAATAAAGAATACGCCTTTCGCACCGATCCACCTACAGCAATATCTTTAAACCTCAAGCCTCAGAAGATTGGTATCTATGTTGACTTTGAGAAGGGCCAAGTGTCCTTCTATAATGTAGATGCCAAGATGCTTATTTTCACCTACATGGACATCTTTACTGACTTTCTACATCCCTTCTTCAGTCCCTGCACAAACAAGTCAGGCAGAAATGTGGAGCCCCTCATCATATGTCCCATCAATCCAGCTAGCTGAGGCACACATAAATGCATCAAGAGAAAACTGTTGTCTCAGTCACTTAGAACAGAATTACCCTTGATATACACTCACCAAGCACTTAATTAGGAACACCTGTACATCCACTTATTCGTGCAGTTATCTAATCAGCCATTCATGTGGCAGCAGTGCAGTGCATAAAATCATGTAAATAAGGCCTATCAGCTTCACGGGTTCACATTAGCCATCAGAATGGGGAAAAAATGTGATATCAGTGATTTTGACCATGGCATATTTCTATAACTGCCGATCTCCTGGGATTTTTATGTACAACAATCTCTAGAGTTTACTCAGAATGGTGCAATAAAGAAAACACATCCAGTGAGCGGCAGTTCTGCGGTCGGAAATGCCTTATTAATGAGAGTTAAAGTTAAAGCAGAAAGGCCTGACTGGTTCAAGCTGACAGAAAGGCTAACTCAGATAATTATTCTGTACAGTTGTGGTGATCAGAAATGCACCTCAAGACATTGAGTCTTGAGGCGGATGGGCTACAACAGCAGGGGGCTACGAAGGGTCCACTTCTATCAGCCTAAAACAGAAAGATAAGGCTGCAGTGGGCACAGGCTCACCGAAACTGGACAGTTGAAGACTGGTAAAATATAGCTTGGTCTGATGAATCTCGATTTCTGCTGAGGCACAAAGATGGTAGGGTCAGAATTTGGCTCCAATAGCATGAATCCATGGACCCAACCTGCCTTGTGTCAACAGTCCAGGCTGGTGGAGGTGGTGGAATGTTATGAGGAATGTTTCCTGGCACACTTTGTGCCCATTAATACCAATCAATCATTGCTTGAATGCCACAGCCTATTTGAGTATTGTTGCTGACCATGTTCATCCGTTCATGGCCACATCTTTTAATGGCTACTTCCAGTCATGATAATGTACCATGTCACAAAGCAAAAGTCATCTGAAACTGGTTTCATGAATATAACAAGGTTCAGTGTTCTTCCGTGGCCTTCCCGGTCACCAGAACTGAATCCAATAGAACACCTTTGGAATATGGTAGAACAGGAGATTCACAGCATGAAATGCTCCTGAGAAATCTGTAGGATTTAACAGCAAAGGGAGGCCCTACCTAGCATCAGTAGAGTGTTTCTAATAAAGTGCTCAGTACGTGTATGCAGGTCTTCTGCCATCTCAGCACATTTTTTAAAAATATGCGATGGACAGATAATGAGTACAAAGGCAATTTGTGGCATGAAATGATGATAGAGGGGAGGGAAAAGAAGGAGATGGAGAGATACAACCCCATAGATTAGCCCAGAATTAGTCCACAAATTAGCCTTCTGCTGATCTCCAAACAGTGGAAATTGACTCTGGGAGCCATGGAGAGGTCAAATGATATGGAAATTTGACTTTCAACGGGCCCATATCATGGAAAACTGAAGTTTTCTCACATTTGTAAAGTAATGGAGTTTTATGTAGAATGTAAAACTTTTGAAAAATTGTTTTTGTGATATATTTATATACCTGCTTTTTCAGCCAGCAGTTTAGCCTCATCCATTCATGTTGAAGTTATAAGTAGTATTTCAGCTTGGACTGCTTTTTGAGCGAGGCGCTGTATAAGGCAGCCAGTGAGAACAGAGGTCATGTACATATATCATTCTTAAAAGTACAATAACACCCTGTTTAATTCTACACTCTCAGGAAAAAGGTAAACTGTCACTGGGGCAGGACACCTCTAATCACTGGGGTGGGACCCTCAAGGGTACATCTCAGTACCTTTAGTCAGGGAACATAACTGTACTGTAATCCACTGAAATGATATTTTGTTGTACTGTTTTGATGTTGTACTGACTCCACACACCCCGTCTCGTCTCCAGGCTTTTTATTTTATTGTTCTGTTTTGAAACATGAGTTTGAAACATGAGAAATATACAAATAGGTATTTTTCACATTTTTCATATGCTTAACAATAGCACTGTTTTAACAATGTACAAATGGCTGAGTGAAAATGCAAAAAGTATGCCTATGTAAAGCATTTTGGGAACTCTTAAGACCAATATTTTCTACATTCTCTACTTCTATCTCTGGGTTTTGTAATTTAGCTATTGCTTACTGTCCAAGCACTGTGTTCTTGTCTGTGTATATGCATGTTTTGTTTAAGAAATAACATTTTTTAGGGTGATAAACAGTTATACCTTACAGTTTGTAGCCTCATAATTTACCTGACATGTGGTGAAGAACTTTGTTAAAATATGAAATACAAGGCATGTCATGTATCCAAAATAATATTAAACTTGTTTATGTTTGAGAGCTTAAAATGTAATGAGACAAGCTAACAAAAAGGTCCCATTAGGGGTGGGAATCTTTAGGCACCTCACGATTCGATTCGATTACGATCCAGAGGGCTGCGATGCGATTATAAAACGATTATCGATGCATCTTGATGCATCTTTTTTCTCTATACATGATTTCTATCCTCCTACTGTCTGAGGACTTGGTAGTTTTAAAGCAAAGTATTTGTAATGTATTTTCGAGACTGGACGCTGAATCTCGGCTCGTGTGCAGCATAACGCGAAAGCCCTGGTTCTCAACGACTGAGAACAGACAGCTGACAGCAGCTCACATAGCCCCGAGGTCTGGCCTCGCCAGTAGCGAACGAAAAAACAGATTAAGACGAACATTTGGAGGACTTATTCGCATTTATAAGCAGCACGGTTGGTTAAATCTGCTGAGAGACTGTCTTTCTCTAAAAAGTTGCGAAAATGAACTCGCTTCTCTTTCGTATTTTCCCGTTCCACCTTAAATGGTGCAGCAGTTACATTCGGCGCCTAAGGCAGAATTTAAGGTGGAACGTGAAAATCAGAACGAGAAACTGGCGAATGAGAAGCGACTTCAGCCTCGTAAAACAGCCGGATGCTGAGACACTTTACAAGAAACTTCTAGTTTTGAAGAAAAGTTTTCTGGCAGAAAGGGGAGGAAAGCGGCTAAAGCTAAAGCTTAAAGCAGAGCGAAGTAAATCTGCGCTCTCGTTTATATTGTTTAGCCCATACTAGGACATTAACACATACTGAGACATACTGGACATTAAATGTTGTGGCTCCCAAGGTGGTTTGACTTCGTTGAAAGGCAAAATGGCTCTTCTTATCATTTGTGTTGTGACTCCTGACCTAACCTTGCCTTTAATGCAGAGGGAGCCGGTTGAATTTCTCGCTCCTCCAGTAGTGTTTTTGTTATGTGCCGTCACAGACTGTCCGGGCGCTGCACTTTCCCACTTCCAGTTCAGCCTTTTGCGTTCCGTCAACATTACATTATAAATTAAATATTTAGAAAATCGATTTTTGACGTTGAATGAATCGAAGGTCACATCATTAGTGGGATAAAATAGACTTTATTTAATTCATTTCCAGTCCAAAAAAGTCATTATTTTTTGAGAGACAGAAGAAAATCAAGCTCCACTTTTCAGGTCTGAAAAAATCCTTCCACTGTAAGAAGACAACTCAACATTACAGGTCTGAAAGGATTTGTAACTGTAAAGAGGAAAAGGGAAAAAACAAAAAATAAGAAAAAATACAAATGAAACAAACTGCTGGTGTTCTCAGAACAACTTACTGACCACCCCAGAGTCCAGACCTCAACATCACTGACTGTGTTTGGGGTTACTTGGGTTGTGAGAAGCAGAAAGTGCAACCAACTGAACTCAAGACTGAACTTTGAAGATGAGGAAAAACATCGCTTGCAGACTTTTTTGGAAATCTGAAAGCAAGTTGAAATGAAAGCTGCATTGGACATATTAAAGACCCATGACAAGTGAAGTTGGCTACCAAAATGGACATAATGAAAAAACTGAACACAAAGAAACAAAGAAAGCCAACATTCTCAGAAAGAGTGATCAATTTGCAGTGATCAATGCACACGCAATCAGGTTCGCAGATACAGTTACCTTAGGACATACATACTCATGGTTAACAGTGGACATGATAGAGTAAAGGAGGGAGGGAAGAAAAAAAAGGAAGAAATTGACTATTTAGGACCGTGTTTAGTTCTGCCAAATTTGCCAGAACTCATACATTTTCTGATTTAAGTTGTAAGTCAGATCAACAGATGGAACCTGAGGAGCTGACCACAAAAGTAAAATACATTTCTTGGCCAAAGATTCTAATATAAAAAAACAAGTGCTTTGTTTTATAGTCAAGTACAGATTCCATATCAAAGTTTAATAGAAACAAAGCAGGAGAGAAGACTAGATGAATCTTCGATATTTTTTCAAGTTCACGGTGGATCCCCTTCCCCTAAAATTGTATCGTCACATGACCAAAAACAGTGCATATATGTACCTCTTTCCTGTTTACATTTGAAGCAATGATTTGAGCAATGTGAGGAGATCTTATGGAGGAGAGTGATCAATTTTAAGGGAAGAAGTGCTAGCAAAGAAAGCTAAACTGTTTGGTAAAGATGCTTTTAATTTTTAATCAAGAAAAACAGTTTCTTAATTAGACAATTGTTGCTTTTACTATAAAACATGATGTATGAAAAAATCAAATTATAACATTTTAAAAGAATTGTATTTTAACACGTTAGAATTCATTTCTCATTGGTGAGAATTTAAGCCTTTTTGCACTTTGTTGTAATTGCAGTAATAATTTAGTTTACACTTTTTTTTTTACAGTTCAAAAAGGAAATGCTAAGATTTGAATTCCTATGATGAGCTGTTTTAGCATTTATTTCCTATTTTTCTAGATCTCAGAAATTCAGTTTACACATTACAAATTACATTTCAACTAGCTATTTCATTCTGAATTCTGTTTTTACTTGCAAGAAATGTGCTTTTCACCAGTAAAATATCATTTTCACACATTCACCTTTGTAAAATCCATTGGAAATTGAAAAATAAGATTAAAGCTACGTTTTTTTTTAAATGAAATCAATTTGAACACGTAATTAGAATCTCAACATGTCAAATTACTCTTCACTTATTTGGACTGCAAGCTATACCAGTTAAATTTGCTGATCTGAAATCCTGCTCAAGTCTTTTTTCCCCTAATAACAGGTAGAAGGTTTGCAATGATGTTCAGTCCAAACAGATCAAAACATCTCTTAATTTTATTAGTTAATCAACTGAGTTTGAGCCAATAGTAAGGCTGAGAGGTATTTTGGCCTAAGTAGTAGATAAATAGGCCTACCAAGGAGTTCGGGGGTCCCCTGTTGGCTCACTAATCCAGCATTGACTGGCTGCTCACTCGCCATAGCGGCACCGATGCTAGCTTCACTGTCAAAAAATATTTGGTTTAACAATTCTTCTTCTGGAAATGCCCTCTTCTAGTTTAGTACTGAGCTTTTCCACACATTAACTGTGATCCTATATGTCTCTTCCTTTGTTTTCAGTTTGAGAAATGAGCAACAATTCACGCTTTTCTCCAGTCTCCTGGGAAAATTGGGCAAGTTTTCAGATTTACAAATATGTTATGGCATATTGTAAAATTTTTCAGAGGTATTCCGGACATAGTTACAGTTTCTAGGCTATGAAAGACCAACTGGGTGAACCAATTTGCTACAGCACCCCCCTGAGGCAGAGCAGTGAAGCAGCTCTAATTTGTTATGAATACCGAAGACAGAAGTTTATCGGTTGTGGGTGAAGCAGGTAAACAATGACAGCATAACATCATAATAGGTTTTATTTTCGGGGACACCCCAGAATTTTGAATTTGAGACGTTCAGAGGGTCCAAGAGGTTAATCAGGAGCCACCAGGACCCCCTGATTGACCTCTTGAATCCCTAAATGTCTCAAAATGTATTTATGAATTCTGTATTTCGCCCCTGCTGTGTTCCTAATTTAAACGCTTCACCTTTTTTCTTTTATTTTTTCTCTTTTATGAAACCACTTTAATTCCTTAGTGTTGTTCAAACTGTATAAACACCTGCTGTTATTCTGACAGTTTGAGGTTCATGAAACCAGTTTACTCCTTTTTAAGCTGACGGACCATTTCTGTGGTCCATAATCCAGTATCGGTGAATGTGGACTCCTGTTTTTCCCCACCCGTATTTGGACTGACTCCGCCTCCTATACTGTGATTGGCTGCCAGTATCCCGCCTTTATGGGGGACACTGTATACCTACTGCTTGGGAATATGAACTAATAGGACGCGAGAGACCAGCCAATCACACCTCAAGGGAAGAGAATTTGGCGGAATACGGGTGGAAAAAGAAAAATATTCCTTATATCACCGCCCTAGGCAGTCTGTCGACACGGCGCTCGGACTGCTGGAGAGTATGAACAACCAGCCAATCGTATGCACAGAGATGGGACTACCAGCCAATCGGAGCGCAGGAGGGCGGGGTTTGACGGAATACAGGTGGGACCAAAAGGTTGCTGTACAATTTGTGCTGTTCACTGCGTCTAGGAGGACACAGAAAGAGACCGGACGGACGGAGCAGAGCACACGCCTTCATTTAGCACCCATCCATCATAGAGGTAAAGAGGTGAGTAAGAGGCATGTTTTGTCTTTGATCTCATGGATATTTTTGCAGTAAGTCTCCCAGTTGTGTAAGCAGGATTATTATCGAAGAAAGAAATATATGGGGATGTGGGCTTTTCTGTGTGTCCCTTATAACCTTAATATAAATACACATACATTATATATATGTATATATATATATATATATATATATATATATATATATATATATGTGTGTGTTAGTCTACAATGTGTCCAGGTCCACAAAACCACAGCATCAGCTCACCAGTTACAGGACATATAATCTTATAGTCCACCCATACTGGCACACCAACTGTGCGCCTTGTGTCCCGTCGTTCCTCTGCATCTGTCATCTGTGCCATGGCTTTGGCTTGCAAAGATAAGACTGCAATTTATGTCATAACCCACAGCACTAAACTGGAATTATTGTTATTATTTTTAAACATTACACTCTGCTTGGATTGTGCTCCTTATGAATTATGCATCAGTGTTTCCCAGTGCTGGTCCTCAGGCAACCCTGCACTGCATGTGTGAGTGTTCTCCCTGCTAAAACTCACCTGACTTAAATCATCAGCTCATAAACAAGCCTTTAAAATGGTGTGTTAGTCCAAGAGAAATGGTGCAATGTGGAGGCCAGTGGAACTTAACTGCAGCTTGGTTTGTCACAGAGAAATATGGAGAGGTATAGACCCCTTATGTGCAAGCTGATGCTGATAGTGGCAGGACAAACTCCTTAAGAGTGCAAGGAGGGGTCATGACTCAAAATAGGAACCCATTCTCCTCTGGGTTGCATCAGATTTTTACTTTACTTTATGTAATACTGTATTACTGTATAGTTGCAAAAGAAAGATTCTTGCATGTTATGTTGGGTGTTTAGGGCTGTAGAAGAACCACTTTGGTGATTTCAATTATGAGTTTTTTCAAGGAAACGTTCTTTAGGGAATCTAAAGGAAGTGCTACCACTATGGCATTTCTCCAGTGAACCCTTTTTGGCCCCTTTATTTTTAAGAGTGTACAGAATTAGATGTAAGAACATGGTAAGAAGTTCAATATGGGCATAAAGCAGATTGTGAGCTGATTTAAAACATCAAGGAACACAAGCAGGGTCGGGAAACAGTTACATATGAACGATTCCTCGTTGCGACTCGCTTCTGCAGATGAAGTTTCCTATTTGTCAAGTCAGTGAACCCCTGGGACACCAGATCTTTAGATACCTGCATCACGTCTGCTGCTGTTCTTCCCCGTTCACTGGTGATTAGAGTTACATAAACCCTCTTTGTTCCCCTCGGCACGTCAGAGCAGATTTAAATGGGAAAGTTCAGACACAGTTAAAAGGCCAGAAATAACTTTCCTTATTCAAGGGAAAGCTCAGGTTGACTTAAGCCTCTTTGATATGTATGTAAGTCCTACTATTGTTTGAAATATCCAAGCACACAGCTGGCCTGGCATAATAACATGGATAAAGCCCAGTGATTTTCAGGTCAATAGGCCGTGCTTCATTATTAATTCCTTCCTGCGTGGTTTCTGAGATGAGATTTGTAAGTCTCAGGACAGAACAAGCTATATTTAAAAGCTATTAATGATATCAGTATCAGAAACCAGGGGATGTGAAGACCCAACTCTTTTAGCCTCTGCTGATCATAGCCTTGTAGGCCTATTTTATATTCTACATATTGATGTGTGCCTGTCTATACAGTATAAGGTAAAAGTCGGAGACCATCCTTTCATTTATTTTCAGTTAAAACCGCCACTAAGTTCAATATTTAATGTGTCCATTCTTTACCTTCCATTCTTTTCAAGAGATGTGCTTTGAGCTTTTCAAAAAAAAAATGCAGAGATATTTTTCCACATCTCCAAAGTTCAGTTCCTAGACAGAAACACTTGGATATTTACAGATCTAAAGCAAGGATAAAGCTTGTTTTTTCTCTTATCTGAGAAAAATCTGCTGTTTATCTGATGGGGCAGTTTTGATGGTCTACCAGGTCTTGCATGGTTGTTAGGAGTCCCATTTTCTCTACATCTTTTTATTATTTTTTAAACTTAGACTTTTGCACAGTACTGTACAAATGCAGTAGCTGCAACGACTCAGCTTTACTGTGCATCTGAATTTACTGATGCTCATAAACTTTACTCTGAATGGTCCCTCGGTGGGATTCCTCTGCATCTTATAAATAATTAGCAGGTCTGGCTTCATCAAATGCCATCCCAATTAATTCCAAATTCTGTTGCTCCACTCCTGCAGAGTGTTTGTCCCATGAGATTATATTTAAAAGCCAAGATAGATTATTTTTTTGCAGCAATTAGTAAAGTGTGACTGTGCAAAGCGAGAGAAAAGCCTAACAAAAAGCCACTGTCTACTTAGTTTATCCTCAGCATTAAAGGAGGCATAGTAAACAAAACTGCATTTCCTTGCCAGTTGACATTTACCTCACTTGTCACTGTATCGGCCACTTGAGAAATCGTGAAATGTGAAGTCTCTGCCATTTCACAAACGGACGTCTCTGATAGACGGGACTCTATAAAACAGTGATGTAATTTCAAAACATTGAACTACATTGTCAGTGACTGAAACAGCAGATTCTTCTCTGTTGATGTTAACAGGCTCTCGGTGGGCAAACTGGGCCTTATTCAGTTCTCACTATAGTAAATCCAGAGTAAATTTGGCACAAAGCTGAGCTAACAGGTTCTAGTAATATTCAGAGACTTATGCAGGGCTTTAACTCCTTAAAATCCCAGGCTAATTACATACTAAGGCTTATTATTCAGTAACTATAGGGACTTCACTGCAAACTGGTTGAGCTATTCTTAGGTCACAGAAGTATGTAATAAAACCTTGGGCCCGCAGGCCCTGGCCATTCAAGGGGTTAAGTTCAATTCTTCACCCAAATCACCATCTAAATCGTAGCATCCAAAGTAAAGAACATGCTACCTAACGTTTTCTGCATTAAACTTTGTTGTGTAACATTGCTTGGGGTAGCCAAGAGCCTACTGGCAGGCAAGGTGAGCCAGCAACTGAAAGGTCACAAGTTCACATCCTAGTGACTGGGTCCCAGCTGTGCCCTTGACAAAGGCAAAACCCCCAACTGCCCCAGGTGGCACGGCTCTGTGGGCGAAGACATGTTGCTTCCAGACTGAACAGGCAGCAAAATGACAAATTTCTTCAGAAGGATTGCTAAAATATAAAATAACATGCTTGGCTGGCACATGCTCAGGATTCAGTGACTCTATGTAGTCTTTTAGCTTAAATGAGCTTACAAAGTTGAACATGTGTGGCCTCTATATACTGTGATCTGCAGGATCCATTAGATGTGTTTCCTGCTTTTGTTGTGCTACATTTAAATGAGACAGATGAAAAGCAGGGATCAAAACTATGAAATGTACTATACTTACACCTGTACTGAAGTGCAGAAGTACTATTTGTTCTCATATGGAACAAACAGTACTCTTCTCCACTGTAACCCTATTGAATGCAGGGTATCATAACATAATGTAACGTAGCTAGCTATTGCACTTTATGTAAAATCAGCTAAATTTCAATCATTTAACTGCTATGGTACATTAAGGTCATTTACACTCACAACTACTTAATTCTAAGTAGGTTACTCATTATGTATCAGTCTAGCTATTAGCAAGTACTAAAAACACACTTGAAAAAAATGGTATTGATGCCTCCCTAGTTCAATAGTTTATGAAGTAGCTGCTAAATTCTACTAGTTAACAGAAACTGATACAGCTTAGAATATTCCAGTGACTAATGTTAGTAATGTAGCATGAGCTTTAGTGATTTCTGTAATGGAATGTTAGCTCATTCTGACAAATCCCTTACAGTGCAAACCACACATCCTAGTTTGGTTTGTCAGAACTACTGGCATGGAGGGAAAGCTTCTGTTTACTATGGGCTGAATTTGGCTTCCTGATTGCCAGCTTTTTTTTATAAAGAAAATGATCTGTTCCACCTTAAATGGGCCAGCATTTTCATTCTGGTGCTTGTAAGAAGCCTAACTTCTGCTTCGTCCCTTTTTGCTGATTCGACACCAGCTTATTTTCTTTTCTGGTAATCAAAGGTAACATAGTGCTTCTGTGGAAGGTCAGACATGCATATGTTGTATGTGACTACTTCGTCATTCATTTTTAAAAAATGCCCCCAGACATTGTTCTTTTTCTATCTGCGCACATAGGTACGATACTATAAATGGATAGCTGCACTTTTCAGAATTAGTGATTAACTCACTCTAGGCTGAACAGCACTTTGAAAATGTAAGCAAAAAATGTGTAACAGGAATACTGTTATTTTTTTTGGTCAACATTATCAATAATATCAGATAATTGTTTCAGTCCTAAATGTCAGTGCTAAATGAAAGAGTGAATTAAGGAGCTATGTTTTTTATATTCTCCACAGTTGTCTTTCAAAGAGCACTGCAAACTATATTAACCAAAAAAAAAGGAGTGCAATATGTCTTCTTTAAGGGTGACTCCTTAAAGACGGGATAAATGAGAGCATTCAGAATGGAGACCCTGCCATTTTACTTTTTTGTCTTCAATCTCTGTTAAGAGCAGTGCTCATAGGAGTGTAATGATGTGTGCTGTTAAAAGCTGAACATAACAGAGCGGGGCCTTGGCCTCTTGGGAACTGGAATGGCCATAGCTTATAGTCGTCATGTAGGTCACGTCCTTCTGAAAAGTCAACCTTTTGATCCATTTACATTGCCTTAGGGGCCAGCTGATCTGGAGACAGAGCAATCCAAGTCCATAACTCGTGAAGCTGAGCAGCAGTTCTTTCAGATCAGGCTTTCTTCTGTCTCTTATCTGACTTCAGAAGAAGGTCAAACCCAGCAGAAATGATCCAGAAACAGTGCTCCAGTTCCCAGAGGCTTTGTGAGATCATCCTCCCTGACTTTTGCAAGGTCATGAGTGTTCGTGGCTCTGAATTTTCAATCATCCTGTAATTTAAAATGTAAATGAACAACAACAACAATATTCAAATTTGCTTGAAATGGTTGCTCTCCTGCAGCAGATGAATCTAATGGTTTATATTTAAAAGACAATATGATACTTATTATTCATAATGACTTTTGAACAGTACTACTAATAATACTAACGATAAAAGTAAATGGAAACTCCAGTGAATCTATAATACACTCTTTCCTTGTACCTGTCCTTTTCAATTTTGCCATTGATGTGACATTGGACAGTGATTGGGCAGTTCTTTGAAGCACACATGGCACTTGACTAATCATGTCTGTCCAGCTCCGAGTTGTTTTCTCCCATTCTCTTGATGAAACTAAAAATAGATCTAGAAAAGGAGCACTGTTTGACAGGCAAGCCAGCTGGTTAGCTGTTTTCTGCCACTCATGCAAGGCTGGTTCATGATGCAATAGTTGCTAAGGTTTGTATTTAATCATAGAAAAAAAAATAGCCTTTGCTTTTTTTGAAATAAACGAGTTTCTACTATGTACACATTTTATTTTTTCCAAAACACACCAGATGCTACAGTGTATATATGGAAATTAAGCTTTTGTGACATCACAACCATGAACACACTTACACAGGTCCACTCATTCAGCCTACGGCAGTTTAGCCTGCAAAGCACATTAAAGTGATATGGAGTGTTGTTAATGCAGATGCATTGTAGCAGAGTTATGAGTGGAAGACAGTTAAACGTGGTGCCGTTCCTGTCTGTCAGGAGGCAAATATGTCATTGCTGCCTTACATGACCAGAAGATATTCGAAAGAAGTGGCTGGCATTTATAACGTCTTACATTTGCGTTATATTCAACTGCTTGTTGAATGAGGCACAATAAGAACAGAGGTCATTTCCATATTGTTGCAGTCAAAACAAAACCACATATCTCCGAAAAGGGTAACTTTACAGAAAAAGGGAAAAAAACATTGAACTTTAACACAGCAGTTATTTGTGCCAATTTTGGAGCATTTTTATTGGGTCCATTTATTATGAAATTGACAAGATATAAATAAAAACTAGCATGAAAAGAGACAAAATACATTAGTGACAGCGGCAACACATTAGTGTCAAAGGCACAGTAAAAAGAGGCTATAAAATAGTCAGGTAAAAGTCAGTTTTGGTAAATACAACCAGACAAAAGATATAGTGGACTTAAAAAAAAGATATGGGTTCTTGAAGACAGCAAAGGACCAGCATTAAACTGAAATTGTCTCTTTCTCTCTCGGCAGGGGCCGGACAGTGAATGGCTGGTCATTAGAGATGCCACCCCACTGACATCCCTCATCATCGCTGGTCTTTCCGGGCCCTATGTTGACATGGCAACAGGAAGAAAAAGTCAGTGTTCATGTGTGTGTATATGTGATTGTGACTGAATGTTGCATGCATGCATGATTGGTGTCCTGTGTGTTACACTTCATGCTTATTATTCAGTTATTTAACACTGGTTCATTTATATAGATGACAGCATGTGTCGGAAACCACATCAGCAAGTCTATTCGAGATTAGCAGTTCAACATGGGTAGAGGCAAAATGTGATGATTAGGCATACAGTTTGCGCAATGCTGACAGAAGAATATAAGCTTACAGTGCTTTAAGCTACATTAGCCTGGTAACTCCAGTGCAAAGCTACTACATTTGGACTAAGTGGAAAATTGTGTGAAGTCAATTTTTCACCAAACTGTCACTTTAAGACTTGTTATTAAGTTCTATAAATGATTACATAAGTATAGTAAGTGTTATAAATAATTCAGAACTTCTATGAAACTAATATGTACATTTTTTGAACTAATGCACTCCAGTCTGATGTCTTTAATCCGTTTCATCATTTTTTTTGTGTGTACTTTCAAAACCCAGATTTTCATATGTAGTCTTACTGACGTATTTGACTTAAGCCCACTGACACAATAGTGGATAAAACACACAAACACACACACACACACACACATGCACACAGTGACGTACAAACGCAGCCTGATGTCCCAATTTCTGCCCTGCTCTCTCTTGTCTCTTGTTTCTCACGCACACGTACACACGCACACAGACACTCCCTTGTTTTTTACGACGTGGGGTGCTTGTATTTTTTTAGTTTAAACATAGAAATAGAAATAAAATTTTAGAATCCTGAAAAAAGGATAAAACAAAGAAAAGGTTGACCATTGAAATGCGAAAGAAATGTACAAATTCTGCACTATTTCTAAGTCTCAATTCAAATTGAAGCAAATTTGTGAAATTGACTGTTTTAAGGTGCTTTTTTGTACAAAAGTAAGATTTTTTTGTCTGATTTCTTCCACTGAAATATGTTAGAATGTCTCTCTGGTGGATTTGATGTACTCATTAGAGGGTTTTGCACAAATTCATGGAGTCCATGCCAACTCAAGCTCATGCTGTCATTATACCAAATGAGGGACATATTGTACCAAATATAAAAAAATTCTGAAATTTGTGAAAACATTCATGTGTAAAATTTGTATAAAATGTATAAAAGGAATGCATATATATATATATATATATATATATATATATATTTTCTTCTACGCCATTTGAATGTGGCAGTTTACCTTTACAAAATTTATGCATTATATGTAACAAGACCTCCTTCACACCTCCAGTCACTGCATGGGTTTGTAAAGTTCCCTTACCAGCACACTTGATTTATGGTTTATTGTAAGGACTGATTAGCCAAACTAGGTACTGGATGATTACACATAATACTGGGCTACAACAAGCAGGGGTTTAGAAATTGTCGAACGAACATAGAGACATATGTAAAATCACTATTTATTGTGTTATTTGCATTCATTATAAATATTTGTGTTTTCCTGCACAAATAAATGCTTACTTACCATAACAATAGCTTTTTAAAAATCTATCAATATTATATATGTAAATGTCTTTATGTAAAAAGAACATGTCTCATATGTGTTATAAGTACCTATTGTAATAAGTATATGTCCCATGTGTACTACATAAGTAGCTGTATGAAATAAGAATTTTCTAGGCCTGTTTTTAAACCTCAGTAACTTCACAGAACTGTATCTCTCCTCTCTTTCTCATTCTCCCACACACTGAGTACAGGGTCTCACATGTGTTGATCATCTCTGCATGAGTCCCTATTCCATTCTTTCTCTCTTTTCTCCCTGATTATATGTCTTCCTCTTTCTCTTTCCCTCACCCTCCCACCTTCCCTCGCTCCGACAGGCTCGACATCCAAGGGTGGAGGCGTGCGCTTTCCTGACGATGCGGAGGAGGACCCTCTCAGCGATAGCTGCAATGACACACAGCAGGACAAGGTCATCTCAGCCATAGCGGAACCGGACGGAACGTACCTGGTTAAGGTGAACGGGGTCGACAAACACACAGCATGACAGAAGCACAGTCTCACAGGAACATCTGCCCACTCTTCACCCTCACATCAACTGCTTTCTCTCTCCACAATAGACAAGCAGTGAGCTAAAAACCTAATATTTTCTCCAAAAAGAAGCTGCGTGAGTGAGATTTCAGCTGTAGTCTATAGAAACAGTGTTTTAGTAGAAGGATGCACTATAAAATGAATATCCAGAAAGCCTTGCATTTTGAAACTCAAGGCAGATAACGTGACAAAGCAGTAACAATAATTTATTCCAGTTTGTAATATTTATAATATTTCAATATTTCAATGCATAGCATACACTGTTAGCAAACACGGTTCTATATAGTAGCAAAAAAGGGTTCTTTGGCTTGTAACAATGGTGGAACCCTTTTTGGTACTATATACAACCCTTTTTCAAAAAGGGTTCTATATGGAACCATTTACAACACATTGTCCATCAATCTGAAGAACGATTCACAAGAACCCTTTAATCATGCAAATGGGTTCTTTAAGTGTTCATGGTTCTATATAGAGCCATTTTTGTTACTGAAGAACCCTTGAAGAACCATCTTTTTTAAGAGTGTATAAAGTATACCAAACAACAAAAATGATCAGTATGACAAGTGATTCCAGACGTTTCAGCTGTAGTGTAGGTGGGCTGGGGCTTTCATTCCTCACTGGGGTTTACAGTGTTTCTGAAGTTGAAGAAGAGAAGATTGTGCACTGTGTGAATTGTGCGCTGTGCTGTACCTTATCTGTGCAGGCGGGATTTCTAAGAATCCAGCACAAGTACGAGATTGTCTTCACTATCCCACAAGTCCCCACTCTGGGCAAAGATGCCACCCTGTCCCCAGCCCTTCGGACCACGCCCAAGCCACGTCTACGTGCAACACGCATCATACCATGCCCTGAAGGTACACTTTACCATTCTGACAAAGTTCCACAGGCTGGATAGGCACTCTCAGAAATAAAGGTATGAAATTGTCACTGGAGCAGTACCCCTCCTGCCACTGGGGTGGTACCCTCAAGGGTACATCTCAGTACCTTTAGTCAGGGAACATAATTGTACCATAATCCATTGAAATGATATTTTCTAAGTTGTACCGACTCCACACACCCCGTCTCGTCTCCAGGCTTTTATTTTATTGTTCTGTTACTAACTATTAGAACTATTGTTCTAAAACGTATTTAGGGTTCATAGATGGACCTTAAAACCACTGCTGTACCTTTGAGGGCACATTTACATTGTTTGTACCTTGATGAACGAAAAATGTACCTGCACAGAACCTTTATTTCTAACAGTTTATTATTAGCTAAAGCAGAGAGCAGTCTCCTTAGCCAATATGTAGTTCATCAGCCAGTTCATCTTTATTGCATAACTCAACAACTTGACGCTGCATTTAGACACGCAGTGTGCACATCGTTAACCTAGCAGCCATAAGCTTTTCATACTTGTTAGCTACATTGGCTTTGCAGCTCCCGTTGTATAATAAGTTGTATAAATATGAGTTTTGGCCATCATTGCTTTCTAAACTCATTGCAAGTCCAAAATCAGGGCTGTCCAATAGGAGAAGAAATATAGGACCTTCCTACTGGATGAGCATCACTTTTGGCTGGTTTATCCAACTCAATAAAGAGACTCTGCTTTGTAAGACATCGGATTGGTTATCAAAGTCAAATTTTACGGTACTGACCGAATTACGACACCCAGCGCTAATAAAACACTCCTCTAGTCTTGGATGAGCAACTGCCTTTCATCACCATAAATGTCCTCAATGTATCCTCCATATTATTTACTACTTGCTACTAGTTAACAGAAGAGATGTAACAACGCATTGTGACATTGTGATATCGCTGTGCAAAACTGTGAAGAAGGCATTTTGTAAAATAAACATTATTTCAGCATGCCAGCTAATGCAAGTGCATTGTTTGAAGATCAATTAACACCTATCAACAACTCACTCCAGCACTCCTGCAACCTTTAGTATCATTAGTAAGTGCAACAACATCATAGTCATCTTTTGTCTTCATTTGAATTTTGTTCAAAATGTTGCGAGAATACCAAATTTATTGCGACCTGACGCATTTTCCTTTTCACGCAACAAAATAGAGGTGGACAAAGCTGTTTATAAGCTATAGCAACAAACTACTTTAAAATGCTTAACATTTAAAAACCATGACATTTGATTCCCCAGGCTTTAAGTTACAAACCACTCCATCTGTGATGCATGAATGCTGATACATCATCACTTTCCTCAGCTAGCTGGCTCATTAGCATGCTAAAGGCTACACAGCTAAGAACAACAAAAAGAAAGCTGTTACACTATGGTTCTACACCAAGTTTATAGCCATACAAACCAATTCCTCATAAATATAATGTACATTATGCTCAAACTTGTAAAAGAAATGTTTTGAAGTGTAAAGTTTGCTTGGCTAACCTATTAGCTCAATGAGGAAGACCCAGCTGAAGGTGAGTGCGTTCTGCTCCTCACTGTCCTCTCCTCCCCTTCTGCTGCAAGTGGCCACTTCTCTAACATAGGTGTGACGCAAAGTGGGTGAGGGCAAGTTAAAAAAGAACTGAAGTTTTGAGTCTTCTGGAGTCACAGTGTGAGTAAAAAAGGTTCTTTTGAGTTTATTTCTGGAGTCAGCTCTGTGCTCTGCATTTGAATCCATAACAGTTGCTAGTCACCAAAGACACCAGTGCCTTCCAGCCCTGTCCATTCTGGTACATGCAGATTATTTGTGATGCTGTCAGAGATGGATGTGCGCTTATGATAAACTGCACAACGACAGAATGGTAGGCGTGTTGTTTTACATACAGTGGCTGTGTCTTTATAGATGAGTGTCATACCAGTGATACATCCCTATACATGAATGACTTTACAATTGATTGGAAACTTCATTTAGAACAGTCATTACTCATTCAGGAGCTGAAACTGGATCTGTCTTTTTCTGCACTTCTGTTGATCTATATTTTGACACCAGTCAGTGGAATTCTAACTTGGACCTAAAACAACATCATGATTGCATTAGTGAACATTCAGTCTGGATCAGCTTACATGGGTGTCAGATCTTGTTAATACTTCATACGTCCAGCTAAGTGCCGAAGGACAGGGCGAGATCGATACGCACACTCACATCTCACTCTTTCATCGATCCTGCCATTAGCAGGAACACTGTAGGCGTGTTTATGGCAGCATCATTTTTCAGCGGTTCAATATTTTAATCAAGTTGGCCGGAGGTTCACCGACTGAGGTCTGTGAGACAGTAGGAGGGAGTCTGTGTCATGCATTTGTTTATTTCATTGCATCAATAAAAAGGCAGGTAGGGTAGCTCATGTCTAATTAAGCAATAGGTATAATAATGACTGAAATATATTCCAACCCTGTCTGTTTCTTGGTACACGGTCAGCTTGTTGCTTCCACAGAGACAAAGGAGGCTGATTTGTATAACACTGTCCATTCTGCTCATTCTAATTCTAATCCTAAGTCTTTTGTTTGGTTTCGTAACGTGCAAATGCTTTTATTACGTTACTTGCTCCCTGATGCTTTAACTCTCTCTCTGCCAAATATGTTTATGTCATAAAACCTGGGCTGCATCTATAATATCCAAGTTCTATAAGAAAAAAGTTTGAGACATATTTCACAATTTTAGTGGCAATGAAAAAAGAAACATTTGTTGCTGTTGTTGCATCATTAATAACATTGTACATTTTTGAAAAGTTAAAATGCAACCCTGAGGAAATTGCTAATGCTGTTTAAATGGTTTATGAGTAAGTAAGTAGTAAGTAAAGTTTATTTATATAGCGCTTTTTACAACAGGTGTTGTCACAAAGCAGCTTTACAAGGATATCAGCATGACAGAAAGAAATCCGGGTCCAAGCCCCCATGAGCAAGCCAGAGGCGACAGTGGCAAGGAAAAACTCCCTAGGGAACAGGAAGAAACCTTGAGAGGAACCAAGACTCAGAAGGGGAACCCATCCTCCTCTAGTCGACACCGGATAGTAAACATTGTTAGTACAAAAACAGGGAAAACAGGTGGAGCAAATGATTAATTTGATTAGTTTAGTTCATGCAGCAGCAGCATCAGCATCAGTGGGGTCAGGTTGAGAGGGTGAGGTTTGCACGGCGTAGTACAGCACGGAGCTTGATGGTGGTCAAGCCGGTCCAGAGGGCTGGCGAGCAGTGGCACCCAATCAAGGCAGAAGAGGCAGCAGCATCAGACGCACAGGATGGGCAGCTGTTCAACTCAGCAAAGGAAAGAAAGAAAGGAAAAACACACAGAGTCAGTTCTATAATGGGTGATTGATTAATTTGATTAGTTTAAATGATTGATTAGTTCAATTGATTAATTTGATTAGTTTAGTTTATGCAACAGCAGCATCAGTGGGGTCGGGATTGTGAGGGTGAGGTTTGCACGGCGTTGTACAGCAAGAAGCTCAATGGTGGTCAAGCCGGTCCAGAGGGCTGGCGAGCAGTGGCACCCGATCAAGGCAGAGAGGCAGCAGCATCAGACGCACAGGATGGGCAGCTGTTCAACTCGGCAAAGGAAAGAAAGAAAGGAAAGGAAAAACACACAGAGAGTCAGTTCTGTAATGGGTGTCAGTTCTGTAATGGGTGACTGATCACAGATTACAGTGTTAGCAGAGCAGCAGAGACTCTGGCAGGTATAGAACTGACAGGGAAAACTAATTACCAAAGGCTTGACTATACAAGGACGTTTTTAGCCCAGACTTAAAGACTGAGGCTGTGTCTGAGTCCCTAACATTAACAGGAAGATTATTCCAAAGCTGGGGGGCTTTGTATGAGAAAGCTCTCCACCCTAACGTTACTTTATTAGTTCTAGGTACTAATAGTAAGCCAGCACCTTGTGATCTAAGTAGGCATGATGGTTCATAGTGAGAGAGAAGTTCACTCAGGTACTGAGGGGCGAGTCCGTTTAGAGCTTTATAAGTCAGTAAGAGAATTTTATAATCAATCTGAAATTTAACTGGTAACCAGTGTAGGGTTGATAGAACTGGGCTGATATGGTCAAACTTTCTGGTTCTAGTAAGAACTCTGGCTGCAGCGTTCTGGACTAGCTAAAGCTTGTTAATGCTTTTGCTGGGACATTCAGACAGCAGGGCATTACAGTAATCTAGCCTTGAAGTAATAAATGCATGAACTAACTTTTCTGCATCCTGTAGAGATAATGCATTTCTCAATTTAGCAATATTGCGGAGATGCAGGAAGGCTGTTCTAGTAATATTAGTTATATGTGCGTCGAAGGACAGATCAGGGTCTATAATGACACCAAGGCTTTTTACAGATGAGCTTGATGCAACTGAGAAATTGTTAAGTTTAAGTGTAAAATCAGACAGTTTGTTTCTAGCTACTTTTGGACCAAGAAGTAGAACCTCTGTTTTATCAGAGTTTAGAAGGAGAACATTACTCGACATCTAGTCTTTTATGTCTTTTATACAGTCTTCAATCTTGCTAAGTTTAATTTTATCATCCGGTTTGCTTGCTAAGTGTAACTGAGTGTCGTCGGCATAGCAGTGGAAATTTATGCCGTGTTTACTGATAATGGTGCCCAGTGGTAGCATATATAATGTGAATAATACAGGTCCTAAAACAGAGCCTTGTGGAACACCATACTTTACTTTTGCGAGGGCAGATGATTCACCGTTTAAATGAACAAACTGATAACGATCAGTGAGGTAGGACCTGAACCAGGAAAGAGCTGTTCCTGTTACTCCTACAAGGTTTTCTAGTCTGTCTAGTAAGATACGTACTATAAGTACTATGATGTGGCCTAAAGCCAGATTGGAATTTTTCATGGATTTGATTCCTATGCAAATAGGAACTTAATTGTTTTACAACAGCTTTTTCCAAGATCTTCGAAATGGGTCTATTATTTGATAGTTCGCAGGGATCGAGGTTAGCTTTCTTAATCAGCAGTCTAATTACTGCTAGTTTGAGAGTTTTTGGGATGTATCCAAGGCTAAGAGAGGAGTTTACTATTGACAGAACAGGCTTGGTTATTTCTGGCAAAATTTCCTTGAGTAAACCTGTAGGAATTGGATCTAACATACAAGCGGAAGAAACGATTTTAACTAGTTCATTTTCTTGAAGTAAGGTAAATGATTCAAGCCTTTCTGCAGGGTTTATAGTATTCTCAAGATTGAGGCTGGCATTAGCATGAGCGGAGCAGCTCATTAGCTGTTTGTGCCCACATACATCTAAACATATATATATATAACTTGAGTCCTATAACTTGAGTTTAAAAGCTCTTAAAATATAACAGCAGTGTTAAAATGTGTTATGCTATTCTGTGTTCAGGAATTGATTGCATTCTTTTACATTATTAAAATGAAATGAAACATTAAAAATGTTTAAGCATTTATAAACTATGATTTTGCTCAAATGCTCCATATTAACCCACTCATTTTGGACTCGCTTGGGAGCGCCCTCTAACTCTTGAGAAACCCGGAAGACATTACGGAGTGGTGATTCTCCTCTCTACAAGTTCTCTGGTGTAAACACGTCAGTGATGACCAGTGACGTGGTTAGCAGTGAAGCGGAAGTGCATGGTTTCATAATTGTATTGTTTTTTAGGATCACATTTAAAAGATAAAATAAAAAAAATCACGGCAGCCGTACATATAAAAAAAATCTAATAAAATGAATAGACACTTATATATTAATATATACAAAAGGAAGAATACTCAGTTAATGCACTTTTGTCTTTAATAAAAAGTGCAATAGCTGATTGTTCTACCCTTTTGGCTATATTCATGCTTTCATAAAAATGTTTTCTAATTTATTACAATGTTCAAATACAAGATTATTATTTATTTATTTATTTTCTTTTTAATAACAGTCAAAACAATCCATTATTCTGTCCATCAGTGCAGTCAATGGAAGGTTATGCTCACAGCAAGTTTTGGTTGCCGTGAAACATAAGTTTTGAATAGAAATGCACAATGACATCATATTAGTATTGGAAACTGCTTTAAAATGACAAGCATTAGATAAATGTTTACATTTGACTATTAGATGATGTATTTATTGCATCCCTACTAACCTGGCACATTTATGCAAATTTAACTGATGTATTCAGTAGAATAAAATCAGATTTTAGAACCAGAACTTATTCATAATCCTATTTTTATGTCTACTTATTCATTTTTTATGTTTATATCTTCTTAAGCGTTGTACCCTGAGCTATACACTAACAACTGAATTTCCCTTTGCCGATCATTAAGTTCATCTTATTCTTTTTTTCTGTGAGCACTCTCTCACCCCCACTTCTCCCTCTTCTTTTCCTCCTTTCCTGCCGCCTCCCCTCCCCCTCGTCCGTCTCTGTGTAGGTGGGGTGAAAGTGGTGTGTGAGTACAGTGCGCAGCAGGAGGGAGTGGTGCAGGAGGAGCTCACTCTGGTTAACAGGAGCAGGAGGGACAGCAGCATTCGGGTCAGAGTGCAGGCCAGAGTGATGGGTGAGGAACATACACGCACACAGCCTTACATAACAATGGGCAATGAATGACGTATGGGTGAAAAACGTGTGTATACAACCTCACACAAACCTTTCATCGTGTTTGTGCATTTACATAAGTGCTGGCAAAGCGAAAGTACACCCAAGTTTGTATTCCTATCTTTGTTGGGTCTTGATTAACTTCGATACAACTGCTGTGCAACACCTAAACCTACCATTTTCTGTGGATCAAGTGTTATGTATGTTTGTTCCATCATACTGTGTTTACTTGGAATAAAGGGCGTTTGGTGAAGTTACTTCACAGTGAGCCTGATGACCATGACTGCAGTGTTATTTCAGCCGAGAATAATGTATTTGTGAATAGACTGTGTCAGATATTAGATGTCAGTTCTACTTGACTTAACTGAAAGGGCGGGGGCGGGACAAAATGTTTCGGTTGCGGGCAGGTGTGGGACAAATAATTCAGATATTCTGCAGGACAGTCCTGCATAGACCTGTAGTGTGTTGCGACGTAAACTTATGATTATGAAAGTTAAGAACTGTGTGGTCAGCTTAAATAATTGTAAGATGTAATTAAGACGTAAACAAAGTCATTCAGAGTGGTTTGGTGCAAAATGCTCTGTTCTAGAGAAACTCTGACTCAGAACTGTTCACAGTGGTGGTGATAGGAACCAGATGTCTATTACATAAAAGTTCCCACACTGAACAATTCAGACAGAGATACAAAAAGAAAACTAAGCTCAAATGTTCAGTACTATCAGTGCTACATCTAAAAAGTCAGAAGATGCTGGTCAAAACCTTAATGTTAGCTTTGTTCATTTTGCTTAAAGAAGCAGCTTTGGACGCCCACATTAGGGAAACACAGTTAAGCACCCAAATACATTTCTACATCAATATAGTACAGTGTTTTTGTTTTTTTAAATACATTTTTGAATCCTCTATGATTTTAATTGCATGATTTTAACCAAAGACGCAATACTGAGCAGTATAAATTAAACAAGATAAACATTTCCCACTGAAAACAGGAAAACAGCTGTTTTAAAAACAAAGAGTTACTTTATTAATGTAGGTCTAATTTAAGTGCAGAAGAAGGTTATTATCTTGCTGTTTCTTTTAGTATTTCTTTTCTTCTCAAGTAGTTTGAAACCCTGATAAAAAAAATACTAGGTCTAACCTGGCTGCCCCATTGCAAACATTCTGACAATGTCCCTGCATTTCACACCAAACTACCTGAATTACCTAAATTTTGATCAAATGGTGGAATTCCCCTTCAGCCTAAGGCACCTGAAGGTTCAAAAAGTCTAAACACTGCAAAAAATGTCAAAACATTTTTTTTCCTTTTGGATTAAAAAAGCATAGTTCCTTGTGTGGACAAAGACCTTTTCACACACTGACCATCTGGTTGGTCCTCTTCGTCCGTCAGAGAGAGCTATAATCCTGAGTGACATCAGGATTTCAGCCACCACTCTCTCATCCGTCTGACCTGCTTGTCTGACACTACAATCTAACAGTGAAACGGCTCATGTTTGAGTGAATGAGACAGCAGCGCCCTCTGGTGGTTCATATAGGATCTTGTCCCATTATTGTAAATTCGGGGTTAACATGCTTTTCTTATCTGTCCCAGCTATTGCGAAAGAAAACGTCAAGCTATTTTATTTGCTATTTTATGTGAATGCTTCTCTCTACGCTACAGTAGATAGAGACTGAAGTCAAGAAACGCTTTGTAATCGTTGCATGTGGACTGTCACAAACGACCGTTATCCACCTGTCAGGATGGCCGAGCGGTCTAAGGCGCTGCGTTCAGGTCGCAGTCTCCCCTGGAGGCGTGGGTTCGAATCCCACTTCTGACAGTAATGTTTTCGCTTCAGGATTTTAAATACTAGTCACAACACAGAGCTAAGCCTGACTACCCTGTCAGAATATGACTACTCCCGATACTCAAATTCCAGTTTGGTTATTTCCAGAATCACTTCTGTTTCCGTCTATTTAATAATACAAGGGCTCTCTGGCCTTTGTAGAGTAATAAAAGTACTGTGAGGATTAAAACATGTTACATGCTTTCTTTTGTCATTTAGTGTAAATACCCTGAAAATAAAAAGCCAGAGGTTTATCCTGTGCTTGCCTGTCACAGTTATTAATTAATCACTAATCGCAAATATTTGAGGTGATTGCGATTATTTAAACTGACCCAAAGCATTGTTCAGTTACATCAAAAAGTTTGGTTTTGCACTGGAGCTACAAGTCTGATGGAGCTTACAAGTAATACTTACATCCCACCAATTAGCACCATGTAAACTGCTTGCCAACATCATCATACACTTGCCTGAAGATTTGATATTCATTCTAGATGGACAGCCGTCTCAATCATTATGGTACTAGAATCAAATTAGAATCATTTTATATCTGATATGATAGTTTTCTATCATTGAAAACACTGATTCCAAACTTTGCACTAATTTGGGATCATCATTCCAAACACATACTAACAGTTTTGCCCTGAATTTTGCAGACCGCCACCATGGAACCCCGATGTTGCTGGAGGGCGTGCGGTGCCTGGGGACAGAAAAAGAGACTGCCACGAAAACCAATGACCGAAAGAAGATCTGACCACAGTCGCTCCCTTCCTACATATCTTACCAGCATGGACTGAGACGAGGAACTGAACACAGTGCATGTGCCTCAGATTGTGCTCAGATCTCAGTTATACCCAACTCCAATCCTGGCGATCCACAAAACATGGCCTTTCGCTAAATACCACCAAACGCCATCAAAAGCTTGATGTTTGAGATGTTCCTGTTCACAGAGGGCCACAATGATGAAATGCAATTTAATGGATCGCTGGAGCTGGAGTTGGAAAGCAGTGTAGTTACTCAGTACCAAGAACAAGCAATACCGTAGTCCCCTGGCCAAGGATAACACAACTGTGGCATGGTAAAGTCAACGTTTGCAAGACGCATCCAAAAGATCTCCTGGGAACTTCAAGTTCAGACAGTTGCTGGAAAAGTTATGTAAAGTTTCAGGTATACCACCTAATCTGTCAAACCCTTCTGGGGAGGTCATCTTTAGGTGGGAATGTGTTTTCCTTGTACTAGGACTGCAAGTTCATTTAGCTTTAACCTAATTCACTGCGCTATCGTGTAGGCTTCATTTAGAGTTCACATAAAAGCTAGTTATATACAGGGCACTACTGCATTTCAAAGAACACAGAGATACATGGAGGCAAGCTTTTCGTTGAATGCATCTTCCCTTTTCACACCATTTATGAATCCTCTAATGTAATGCACAACATGACAGTTTCTCTTTTAAGCTCATAATATTGAGTTTGTAATGGACAAAAGACTCATATGTCAATAACTACAGGTTTCTAAATGTTTTTGCCAAAAGAATGTGGTGTAATATACCAGCAAAGTAGAGAGGTGTAATCAGGGACAGACCATGGTCCTATGAGGCCGTTGGGCACCAGATGGACAAACGCACAAGCCCACTATATAATGCTTTTGTAGTATGGGCTGTTTCGGCCTAACTGCCAACAGAGCACAGTATTAACTGTGCCTGCAGTCATTGACTAATAACAGAGAAAGTAACTCGAATTAGCGACACATACTTGATTAGCACACAGTTTTGATGGCTAGCTAGCTCCCCCTGTTTGCAGCAGTCTCAGGATCAAAATGGCTTCGCAAAATGAGCCTTTCATTATAGAAAACCCTTCAGTGTTCAGGACAGAACTGAAGTGCTACATGCAGTAAATGTGGTGTTTAAAGAAAAGGAAAAGCAACATGCAACAGTTGGCTAGCACATAGTTTTGATAGCAAGAATGCTAGCTAGCGTGAGCTAGTTTAGCTGAAGTTGTCGGCTAATATAGCTGCAGTTACAGATCACATTCCTTTAAAACGTACTGAAACGTAGTCTGTATTAGCTTTTACTCTCGCTAGCTAGTATACTTGCTGTGCAAACCAGAGAGTGGCTGAGTTGTTTTGCCCCAATCTTTTAAACCTCAGTTACTGCATGTAGCGCGTCAGTTTTGCCTTTCAGAATATTTTTCTTTATTGAAAGGTTTATTATCTGAAGCTGTGTTGAATCTGACAGTAGGGATTACTTTTGTACAATGCAATGCCTGTAGCAAACACAGAGACTAAACTAAAAGACTTAAGACTTGGACTAGTACCCCAGACACTTGGCTAGGGTTTGCATGACTTGTGAACATCCATGGCTGATAATTCTGACATTGTTCTAGCTTATAATTTATATATTCAAAATAGATGTGATCTGTCCCAGACGTTTTTTGTGTTATTGCAGAGTTTATGTTCAATAAAGTATAAGCCTATAATCACTTCTGTACACCATACATACTGACAGTCTGTCTGGTGAAAGATCTCATATATGTCTTGTTTCTGCTTGAATTGTACATTTTGTTGACTGTGGTTTGAATGCACAGATGAATTAAACAGAATGGTACCAAGAGGTGTATGTTGTATGCTGCTCTGTGCTGTTTTTTTTTTTTTTTTTTTTTTTTCTCTCTTTTTTTCAGCAAGGAAATTGTTTATTTATTTTATGTATCTGTTGCTTCCACAAATGTTCCTTTAAATAATCTCTTTTGAAAGTAACATCCCTTTTCCTGCATTATAGATGACTGCAGACGTAATGTCTCTGCTGGAAAAACCAGGACAGACCAGCAAGCATGTAATGCTAGTTTGTGCTGGTTTATGCTGGTCTAGTGCCGGTTTGGTTCTGGTTTAGCTGGTCACCCCAGCATGGTCATACTGGTTGACCAGCAAAACAGCATCCAAAACACAACATTATGCTGGTTTTGCTGGTGGATGCTGTTTGTTTCAGCAGGGGTGTCATCTGAGAACTGACACACTGAAAGAAAAACCACAAGGAGGAAATGCCAGGTTTTTAAAAAATTATCATCTATTATCCAGTCACACCTTCACCGCCCTGCAGGGTCCAGCAGAGCAATGACTATCAGAGAGAAACGCAGAACAGTTGAAACAGTAATAATTGACTGAGAAACTGAAAATGGACGTTTGCCGCCATTACTCTTTATATCCACAAGGTGGCAGCAATGACACACCAATATAGTACACATGCCCGCAGCGCAGCTTCATGATCTAATTCAGTGACAACACAAGTAATAGTTTCATACAATAACTTACAAATTATATCTCTTAACAGGTTTTAAAATTGCAACACAGTGTAGCTCATCCTGGTCCGTATCGACCAGTAGACCGCGACTAGATACCCACAACTGCCATGATTCTGAAAGCGGGCATAAATTGTCAGGATGGCCGAGCGGTCTAAGGCGCTGCGTTCAGGTCGCAGTCTCCCCTGGAGGCGTGGGTTCGAATCCCACTTCTGACAACAACTTTTTCATTTTTTCCCTCACAAACGGCACTTTTTCCACGACGTTTTGAAAACATAAAAGCATGTAACACGTAATAGCAGAAGTGGTGATCTTGTGTTTTCTGTGATAGTATTTCCAGGTAAAATCAGGCAGTGGAAGCTGTTCATGCAACACTGTATATGAGAGGCCAAAAGTAAAAACAAATAAACATAGAAAACAAACATTGAAAGACGTAACACACACTAATGTGTTTTATTAACATTGAACAAAAGGGTCTGAATAAATATCTGCATTAATAGTTAGCTTTCTAACTCATTCTGGATTTGCCTGCTGACTTTTCTTGCAGACCTAGTCAGATCCATCTGACTCTTCATTCAGGTGCTCCTAAAGGCCTGATGAACTGAATCAGCTGTGTTAATTTAAAGGAATTTGAAAATAATTTAAATTGGTCATTGTAAAGAAATGTTATTAACAACCAGCAGGTTTTTATTTCCTTCATAATAAGAATATAGTACAGCAAATCAATAGAACATTGTGGTTAAAAAAAAAACAAACTTTGGTAAAAAAAGATGACAACAAACGTTGTGTGGTACTGCAAATTGACTTAATTGTAGTATATTGTCAAAACTTAAATCACACTTTACTTTCATACGTTTGGCTTGTAGTGTATAGAATAAATCAACACAGACATTCTCTGACTGTGAAGATTACAGGACCACAATTCCTACACAAAATGTATATTAAGTAAACGTAATGTTTAGTTAAATACTAACACCAGAGGTGTAGCCAAAGTTAATATTGCACACTGAAAAAAAAATGAATTTAATTATGACTTTTACTTGATTCAAATACATCATTTCCTTCTAAATAATACATCAACAACTTTTGGTAACAATCATAGGCATTGCTAGGCCAATTATAGAGTGGTTAACCCCTCCCCAACAATGTTATTTAGCCCTGAATGTACATTACTAGCCCAAATCATCTATGGCAGGGGTGTCAAACTCAACCACTGAAAGGGCTATATTAAAAAACAACTTCAAGGGCCAGCTGTGTATTATTTTATTTTGACTTAACGTTTTACTTACTTAACCCCAGCTGGCCACAGTTTATTCATAATATGTCTAACTACAACAGCAAAAAATAGGCACTGAATATGTGAACGATTTTAAATGAAAACAAATTGTTTTATGCAAAACAGTAGACTACACTAGATGCAGATATCTGTTAAACCTCTTTAAATATCCCCAGTGTACAGTAGTTTTTTAAAACTGCCCATTCGCTAGAACCAGACACCTGGCATTTTATTTATTTATTTTTTTTAGTGGTGCTGTCCCATAGATTGTTGCTGGGGAGGGGTGGTAGCACACGTTACGTTGCACTGCATGCTGGGAACTGTAGTGCAATTCATGGTGAAATGGGCTAGTATTAATAGAAAATTAGAATAATTCTGCAGGCCAAATAGGACTGTGCCACTCACTTGACTTGTGTTTGACACATGGGATCTATGGTTTATTCTCATTCACAGTACACTGTAATAGCAGGGCGCGGCCTGGGGGAGGCACTGCTGCTGCTCTAATGCAGCACTGCCTCTGCTGTACTACCAGAGATCGACTAACATAACGTTCAGCCAATCATATCAAACCTCATACATTGCAAGCCAATCATATCAGACCTCATACGTTGTAAGCCAATCATACCAGACCTGGAGGAGGGTCTCTGTTTATGCACTGCAAAGTAACCGGTAGCCAAGCCGGACAACTTGTAGAGAGGGGAATTACCACTCTGTAATGTCTTCCGGGTTTCTCAAACGCTAGAGGGCGCTCCCGAGCAAGTGCAAAATGAATGGGTTAAAATTGAGCATTTGAGCAAAATCATAGTTTATAAACGCTTAAAGATTTTTCACGTAAATGAATACAATCATTTCAAGAACAGAACAGCATAAAACATTTTAACACTGCTGTTATATTTTTAAAAGCTTTTAGCTCGAGTTACAGGAGTTTAAGACGGCGCCCCATTTACGTCAATGACGTCAGTGAGCGCGAACAGCCAATGAGCTGCTCCGCTCGCCAATCAATCAGCACTCAGTATCATTAACGCCAGTGTTCTGCTGCCCAAAACAGGAAACATACAGGTGAGTTTTCTTTGTTTTTTTTTAGTGAAATACGTCCCTCTGTTTTCTAAAATTAAAGGAAAGTTCTGGGCAAATGATCAGAAACTATTTTAACTTTTCGTTTTTAGCCGTTGAGCTCCTTTCACCCCAATCATCCAGGACTCGCTCGCGGGCGCCGTCTGCTGTTTTGTAGTCCTGTTTTTGATACAACGGGGGATAAATAAGTGTCGAGGCTCCTCATAAACCGGCTCTGGCTGAGCTGAAAACATCATTTTGGCTAAAAGTTCTCTAAAATGAACATCAGACCGGGGTTTCTCAACCTGTGGGCCGGGAAGCACCCTCCAGCGGGCTCGAGCTACTCGGGGGGAGGCAGTCATTCGCACTGGGTCAGTACCGCCACTTTAAGTCATGAACAGTGGAAAATGATTAACTTCATGATTAAAAATCTAAGAATCAAATGTTGTCAAATCATAACCAATATAAATATCCATGCAGACGTACAAATAAAAGCGCCGCAGTAGCTGGTTAATTAGGCTACACGTCATCGGTTTTAAACAACACAGCCGCGGGCGCGCGCCAGAGTTGAAGCTGCCCTGGGTGTTTCCGGCTGCCGTGTTTGTTGAGGATCATTACACCTTTTATTTAGTTCGCTTTGTTTTGACATGTGTGAACATTCCACCCGTTTTCGGGTCTGCAACAAACCACTGAAGCGGACCGGCAGAAACCGCGAGTCTCAGTCCTCTTCAGACTAATCCCGGTTCAGTTCAGCGCTGATGGAAACGCGCTCTGTGATCAAACGGGGGACTAATCCATCAATAGAGCTAGCTTTCCTCTTCTATCAGCACTTTCGACAGTCACTATAATCTGCCTGTTTTAACGTTTGACTCTGTACAGACTTTCATTCGCTCTCATATCGTTCCTGCAGCTCGAGCTGTTGTTAAAAACGAATAGCTAAAATAATGGCGAAGATCCACGTTTGATTTCGTCTCATTGTGTGAAGTGGGTGGTCAAACTCAAATTGATCAGCCAATAACAAAGAAGCCGATATCAAGAAAGGTTTATTAATATTGTTGATTGTGACAACGCTAACCCGTACGGAGACCCCTGAAAGGACACAAGAGAAAAATGACATGGGTTTTTCTATGATGGGTAAAAAAATTCCTGTCTGCAAAATGACCTCAGATTTTTTAGGTAGCATTCCACTCACTAATATCTCGCCAAGCCCACTGTCCATTTTTCAGGGGTGCTTGAAGTTCCGTATTCGTGATTGAAACTATTCTAATGAAAACTGACCGCTATATATACTTAAATTTGAACTTAAGCTCAAATACAAAGATATGGTTTCAGTGCTCACCAACAGTTTTATAAATCGTTATATTATAGTATATATGGAATGCTGTCTAAATGACGTATTGGTGGCACCTACAGAGCGGAGTGAATAATTATTAGAAAAGAAAAAAGAAGAAAAAAAGAAAAAAAATCTCAGGTCATAGAAAAACCCATGTCATTTTTTTCAGGTTTTACCTATATATCTCGAGATTTTTTTCTCAAATTAATATATCTCAGGATAATTATCCTGACATATTTATCTCAAGATTTTTCTCAAATAAATTTTCATTTGAGGAAAAAAAAATTAATTTTGCAGGCAGGAGGTTTTCTTTGAGAGGAGTGTGCCTTGGCTAGTTCAAATGAATCACAAAAACCTTCACAACTAAAGAGAAATCCTGAGACGAAACAATATTAACTGTCATTTTGGTTTCTGTGATTGAGCCGGTCTGATCTTTTTCAGGGCCTAATTCTCAGGTTTTTTAGTGTCAGCGCTTAAGAAAATAAATGAAAATTGCATTTAAAAATAAGCTGATTATAGCTGTCCTGTGGGCCGATATGCTTTGTGTGTATAAACAGGTGGGCTTTTGGGTGGGAAAGGTTCAGAACCCTTGTATTAGACCTTATTCAAAATCTGTAATATACAGAATGAAATGGTGTTAAACAGAGTGAATATATCCAC